CAAGTCAGTCCACTAATGTGTATGTGGATATCATACCACAGGCAGGAAAGGTACATGCTGGCCTTTAATATGCACATCTTGAGTCGGCCCTTTCTTTTAGTCCTGAGGTTCTCATCTGGTCTCTGTCCAGTCAAAAGCAGAATGCAGTGATTGTTCTTTCCTCCTGCTCCTATGACTAAGCACAGACTGATCCGAGGCAATGATTTGGCAGGCAGCAAAAATAACCTGCTTTGATGATGGTCTTCGGTTTCCTGTGCGTCTTATATTTGTTAAAACGACGACGGATCTGAATCATCTCTTACTATACAATTGAATACAAGCCTGAAGCCACAGAAAATGACTAGCATGTAGCAATTTCCACTCATTCTGCAGCATGCCTCAGCTGGCTCTCTTTCCTACTTGTCTTTATATAACTCAGATCAGACTTGTGTCGGAGCAGGGCATGTACACGTAGCATGCACAGGTCTCTGTGCCCCTGCAGGGCTTTGTCCTAGGTTGGCCGAGGGCTCCAAGCAAGCACAGCACCACTCCCTTGACAGCAGAGAACTCCACAGCATCAAAAGACCATGTCCTCTGCCTCATTCTACTGTACATCGAGTTCTACACTGTCTATATTTCAGAAGGGAGTGACATCACTTTGGGAACTTGCTCAGTGCATGCCCCCTTACAAACACCCACTACCTCCTTCAGAAACTCACATTTTAGCTCCACATTCTGGCCCCCCTGAAAGTAGCTTTATTAATTGAATCTGCTACTCACATATCACATCTCGTCCAGCATTTCCGGTTCAAAGAGCCCCAGATTAAATGGCACAGGGGGCTGCACCCCACTGAAAGGGTATTGTGTAGTGTTTGGGGTCAAAATCAGATTTGTTGTTTACAGAACGACAAGAAAGAAACCAGGGTTCTGCCAGCTCTTGCTATATTTATGTCTCGATCATGTGAGGTCGTTTTGTTCCACCAGTTAGAAATAATATGCAAACACCTGAGGGCAATCAATATTTATTTCTGCTGTATCAAAATGTCCAGCATAAGAAGGCAAATGTCCACATTAATGGATGGATTCAATTAATGAGAACTATGTTAAGCTTGTGGCACTGACTTTTAATTCTATTAGGAATGTAATAATCTTAATGTTAACAGGAGGGCTAGCTAAGGCTGAATAAGCAGTAATGTAATATCTGAAACATCGCATCATTTTATCAAGGTTTAATAACCCTTTTCTCAATATAGAAGGAAAGACGGACCATAAAAACTATTCACAGTCATTGCCAGTTCAAGCTGGTTTAGGGGCAGTCGGTCTTCTGATGTGAAAGGAGGTGGCCATTGGGCTTGACCATCTAGTTACTGGATTCATTGTGTTCAGTAGGTTCCCTGTGGTGGCTGTGCAGTGGATCTATGCTCTGAACTACTATAAAACCCAACCCTGTAGAGTCAAAGCACTTACACTATATACAGTATTAACAGCCAACTGCATCTCTGCAATGCCTTCATTGACAACCAAAAACCATATCTACCAACTATTAATAAATCTAAATGATTTATAGTGATTTATAAGAGGGAACTGCAACTTACTGATTTTTTTATGTGACAATTGTCTTAAGCAATTAATTGACCTTTAGATCCCTTAAGTTTCCAGATAATGAAGTTGACAGCTTGACTTCAAACCAAATAAATATCCCCTGGCAAGTATCCAGAGGGCCCCAATTTAAGGTTTCAAATGAGTCCATCACTTCTTAATGAGTCCAGTCAGTAGCTGAGAAGACCAGTGCTTTTTCTGAAGAAGGAAGGCTCAACTTTGTACTTAGATTGCAATCCATAAAACAGAAACATGTGGAAAGACACCCTGATCTGTTTCTTTGTCCCTTATCCAAACACAGTAATCCAAAGATGCAGACAAGTGCTATTGTTTGTGCACTTGAAGCTGAGCATAAGGAGAGTGATTGAGGCAAGAGTCCTCCTGACACTGCAACCCATGTCCTGAATCTTAAGTGATCCCAAGTATACTTATTCTACTTTCTAACTGGCATTCTGGAGCCTTGAACGTACAGCAGCAGAAATGCAAAATCAGAGGCATGGACAGAAACCTTTGAAATGTTCCACTTTTCTCTCATGTCTTGTGCTCTGGACCTCAGTATTCTGTAGCATTCGCAATATGCTACAAAGCTGTCCCTGCTTTGGTCAAGTCAACTACTGTACATGCTACACTATGCCACACACGCACACTAGAAAAGGATTGACTCAAGGGTTCCTCTGCATTATGGTTTCATCCGTTTCAGGAGTCGCAAGCTGTGGGCTTTCATAGCAATAGGTTTACAGAAACAAAATACCAAATACATCCTTTGAACAAAATTCCACGTTCCTGCCTGCGCACATTTTTTCAACAAATGTACAAAGGAAGAAACACAAACCTGTTCAGCAGCTGGTACAATAAAATCGAAAATGGATTAAAAACTGCTGTTCAATGTGGGTCCTATCTGCCTTGCCCAGCTCGTCGCAGTGTGACAGCTCCTCCCTGGAGCCCTGACAGTGCAGCGATGTTCCAGGAGAAGAGGGGCGGAGCCTCCGAGGATAAACAAGGGAGATTCGCGAGCGACTCAGTGGAGTAAAGACAAGACCGACAGTCTCGTCTGCACTTCAGCCCCTCCCCCTGTTCAACACGGAGGCAGAGGAGCGGACCGTGGGCCCCATCTTCCTCAAATCCGATCACCCCCTAACGCATCCAGCATAACACCATTCCAACACATCGGAATGTGCCAGTTTGGAGATGCTGCCCAAAGGGAATGAGTCTGCAGCCACACAAAAGCCCTGCTCTTGGAAAATGGGGAGTGAGACCACATCGACTTCTACATAAGCAGCACAAATTGGAGATTGACCATGCAGGCCAATGAAGAAGCCCACTATTTAACTCCTTCTTTAACTTTGTTTACAGTACTATACCAGTCAAACACGGCAACAAGAGAGAAAACCAATTCCTTCCTTATGCTTTAGGTGCACACAGAACACCTTTTTAACCACAGTAGTCCAGAAGTCCAAGCATGAGTGCTTTTTTTGAGAAATATCATAGAGACATACCACAGCTGTCCACCCTAGAAAACAGGTCTCAGTTCCCTTGGCACTTTACCCAGAGTTACCCCCGGAGAAACACAGGGCTGTAGAGCAACACCATTCCATCTGGTATCAGACTCACTACCTAGCAGGTTCCTTGCAGACAGTCTCCAAAAACAGCCTTTTCTTACAGAACAGCCTGGTTATACATCTATTCTGCATTCTGTATGTTTTAGTTGACCTGTTAAAATACTGCTAATAATAATTCATGAGTTCTTCAAGGTATTCACATGTACTGTACATGCAGCATGGTTACTTGTAAGAGCTACATCAAGGTCTTCTGACTCTGTACAGTGCCCAGATGGGTGTTGCCCTGGTATCAACAGCTCTGGACTAGCTCAGGAAACACACATTTGCAATATTCTTAATACATTTTATTTAATAAAAATACAGGCAATGCTAATTAAACCAACAAAATTGTACTTGGCTTATGAGATACTGAGATTTTACATTGAGTCTGATCTGTTGGGTTCTTTTGCCTTTTAATATTTTGCATCCTTCCAACCAAATGAAATATTCTTTAACAATGGGTATTTAATTACAAATGAGTGATAGCTAAAACCACCCCAGAAGCAAGACTCGGAACAGGGCCACCCCACAGCTGATGTGTATGAAACCTACATCAGCAGCATCGACACAAATACACAAATTTTAAAAATCAAATTGCATGTTTACTCAAGCACTACTCTGTCCCCAGAAGTGTACAGTTGTTGCTGTGGTAACTATATGACCTATATTTCCGTGGTGTCTTAGTAATGTAATGTCATGGGGACGAATGCAAAGGGGGGGTGCGTATTAAAATATGAATGAGAAACAGGAGGTAGCGTCATTACAGGGAGAAATTAAACAAAGATAATAATATTTGACTGTAAACAAATCATATTCAACACTGAAGAAATAAATAGCAGTCAAATGTTGCCTTGTCCAGCAGAAATCTATCCGAGCTGCAAATATCACCAGTAATACACTGGGTTACACACGTTAAACCAATTCAGAACAAAGATGTATGAAAACAAGCAGGAGATCCCTGCATAGATCAGGAAATTCTGAGTGAAGTACGTTGTTAAAAGATACAACAACAACGTCCACCCTGAATTTGAGCCCACGACCCTGCTCTCCAAAGGCTGAAGCTCCTGACCACCGGTTAGGGCTGCTGCCTGAATAGTAACATTATTGCTATTGTCGTGTATTAAATACGAGTAGGTTACATTACAGGTTAAGGGCGGTGTATTAAATACGAGTTAGTTGCATTACAGGTTAAGGGCGAATGGGACGAGTGGATGGCGAGGACGTTGACCATAACTCAGTTCTAGTCTCTCTGTATTCGTTCCTGCACGCTTGTTTGCTGTGTCATCCTGATTCTGTTCCAAACTGACCATGACAGACAGACGGACACTGCCGGCCGCTGGTAACCGCTGGCCGGACACTCAACCCGTTTTGCAACACTTTTCGCTGGCTTCTTCAAATTCCTCTTGGCAGGAGATCGATTTTTCAAAAGAGGGCTATTTTTTTCTCGGCACATAGAAAATAACAGGAGAGAAATAGAACACTTGACCTTCCTTCACTTACATATTTACTGGAAATAACTGGTTATCGTTTTCTGTAGCCTTATTTTATCTATAGGTGTGTGTGTGTGTTCGTGTGTGTATCCATATAATGGACAAGCAGTTATTTTGTTATCAGGTAACCAAAACGAACGGTTCTAAGCTTCTACTGTCAGAAAAATTAAATCTCCTCTCAACAGATGCTACAAATGGTTTATACAAACATCGCAGTCTGAAACATATTAAATACCCCTGCATAAACAAAACTGATTTGTCATACAGAAAAAAAGGTTTATTTGCATGCAAACCGCCAAGCTTTTAATAAATGAGATGCAATTATAAATCATACCTTCATATCATTGACGATAGCCTGAAAAAGCCCACCCAGAGCTCCACACTCCTTTTCCACCGTCTCCATATTAACACATCCACCGCTCACAAATTGCTCAATGATAAGGATTCGAATGAAATGCTCCTCCAAGAATAATCTCCCAGGCACAAACGATAACCCAGCTTTTTTTCTCTCTCCAGTTTCACGTATGTGCAAAAAAATATTTTAAAACACAGTCAAGACAGCAGTCCCAGATGGTTGGATGGTTCGCTAGTCTGTGCCCGTTTGAGATTAGCGAGTGATGGTGAGGAGAAGAGAGATTTTTATTTCTCTCTTCCCAGCTCCCGGTTTACTCCCCGCGACAGGAGACAAAAACCGCAGACGTCTCGACGACGGGCATTTTTACCTCTCCTGCCTGATTGCAATGTAAAATCACGGTTTGGGGGAAAAAAAGGGGTGGGTTGTAATGCTGAGACGTGTACCCAAACGTGAAATGGTCACTCACTGGAACACCGGTGCGCACTGCGCTGCCAGTGATCGCGGTTCGGGCAGTCGGCTAGGAGCTGTACAGCGAGCGGACAGTAATCCGATCCATGGGAATCGGCGAGGGCCGGTCAGCTTTCTTGTCACATGGCGAAGAGAGGGAGGGACACCCCATCACACACACAACAGACAGCCTGGGCTTCAAGCGCGATAGAAGGGGGGAAACGTCAAAGAGATTTACTGCTTTACAATGAGACGGTGGGGGGTGGACGATGCCTGCGTTTCTGCATGCGCCCGTGCGAGTGAAACATGGGAAGCCACCGGAGGAAGGAGCTTGTGGGAGTTTTTGTTATGCGAGACCGAAAAACGGTTTTAAAATGTTAATTCGTGAGATCAAGCAGCATGTTGGATATTCCAAAACTTAAAGTATCATTAGTGTTAGATATGATTTCAAAATCATTAGTAGGGTATAAGAAGCAGAAGGGTCTGTCCTTAGTATTCTACAAATCTGCCACTGTTCAGCTATAAACGGTTTTGCTCAAATTGTACTTCAAAATGTAAGGTGTTTTATTATTGCCGCTCCATGGGGAATATAATAAACCCTAATACAGTATGAGGATTGGAGTTTTTTATTTTGGTATATCATTAATTTTCCGAATTTACCATGCGTAAATGATCAAATCACTGATGACATAACATTTTTTTAAAAACGTTCACCGGACTCCACTCCGCAGTTTAATGAAATTGGACATGTGAATTGACATATTTCAGTCAACTTCGGATTTAAATAATGCTTCTCTTCATCATACCTTCAGATGTTTACTAACACCACGAACGTTTCTGGGATCACACTGTAGTGTGCATTTCACACATGTATGCAATAGACTGTGATCGTGAAATTGAGAGTCCGTGACCACCTGTGGGATTTCGTTTTCCGGATTAGGGAGTGAGGAAATTTCAGTATTTCCACAGAAGCACATACCCTTGAAAGAAAAGGATTTTTTTTCGTTTCCGGGGACTTCTCATTGAAAGCGCAGTGGGTTACTTAAATAATAAAGACTAAATGAATGATTTCTCATGCGCCGCAGGAACGGAAAAGCCCTGTTACAGCATTACTCCATTGTGCATGTAAATGTATAAATATAGTGTACCTGGTTATGTAAATAGTGTTAGTAAACTAGTCAAGGTACATGTGCGCAATATCATCTCTGAGAATTACCGGAGATTACCCTCCGTTTCACCTGTTAATGTCGAACCAGATCATAATCCCAGCAATTCCTAGATAAACGGTACAGTATACAGTACTACTGAATTATTGGTGAAAACACCTGTGATGTTTCACCTGGTTTCATTTCAGAACCTAGGTGTTTAATCTCCGGAATATTTTCCGGGTGAATCTCAATAATAATAATGTATAATTTCCCATAAATTAACTACTCTTTTTATCTATACATTCATAGACGTTCAATCATTGTGGTAAAAAACAACTTTTGCAGCCATTTCAACTACTTTACAATAGCTTATATTAATTGCCTTTTGATTCATTATACTGTATAACCTTGTCGGTATTGTCGCTGTATATAATTGTGAAAGCTCTGACAACTTGTTTTGAAGGCCGTTGGGAGAAAAAAAAATCGAATTAGAATATATACAGAGCCGTCATAAATCTACAATATTGAAAACCAGGGTTAGAACCACAACGAAAACATATCCAATCATATTCTGGAGGATTGCTCCTCAGTATTATGAACTCTACTCCATTTCTCTTTGCCAGCGGTCACTTGGCATTCCATTAGCGCACTGAAACACTATTTTCTCCTATCCGAGTTTTGTAAGCATGGTCGATTTATGTCTGGTTCAGAAAAAAATACATACTGCAGTAGTATCTATCATTTCTGCTGTACATTGGGGGAACAGATCAGCTTTTATTTCATACAATTGTGTAAGATGGAAACCAGGCAAGACGTGACCATGAATGGGTTTAACCTTGACTAGGTCTGACTGTCTCAAGTATATAATTACCTACTTCTGCTGGTGAGTTATTAAAATAAAACAAAAATCTATTACAGGCTGCCTATTCTGTCTTCACTCGGGTGTATTTCAGTGGTGTCCTATTTCATTCTGAAGAGACTTAAGCAGGCCAGATCCTCAGAGAGGTCAAATCTCTTGTCCAAAAATGTCCTGTTCCCATTCACAGAAACTGTTAAGAAAATAATGACTGAACGTGTCAGTACCAGGTATCTACACAAACGGTTAGGTCTTACTGTTGGGTATTTTACAGTTTTACATAACAGAAAAAATTATCAACTCTAAAGGACACATTTCTATTGCTTCTGTGTTTTTCCAGATATTAAAATGTTAAAACATTAATCCAATCATCCAGCCATTTTGTTATTGCTTCTTCCCACCCAGGGTTGTGGGGGAGCTGGAGCTTATCCTGGCACGCTATGGGCAAAGGGCAGGACACTCCTCGGGTGGGATGCCAGTCCATCACTGGGCAGACAGACACAAACACAGACGCACACACCTACACCAGGGCTGATTTTACAAAAGCCAATTAACCTACGAATGTGTTTTTGGACTGTGGAAGGAAACTGACGCACCCAGAGTGAACACAGGGAGAACATGCAAACTCCACACAGACAGCACCCCAGCTCCGGAAATGAATCTGTAGCAATGGTAACCACTGCACCACCATGCTCCTTAAAATTAATTTGAATCATATGCTATAAAAGTGTAACGGAAGCAAAACGGTATGAAAGCAGATAATGACATTTTAAATAGCTTGCCACTGAATCACTCATGCCGACGGAGAAGTCAAAGAGCCTTAGTCAGTGTGACAGGATGAAAATGCAGGGCCTGCTCTCCCCAGGAGAGGTTTAAGCAGGTCTGAATTCTTTCTACAGAGCTGTTGCAGTTTCAGCCTCACGGGCAGCTGCCATGAAAAGGTCCTGCCAGTTCATGGATTTCTACTCCAGCCCTTGGTGAAGCTGGCAGGCCTCTCTCCTAGCCTTTTTCCTGAAGCCCTTTCCCAACTCTCACCTCCTGCTCTTCTGCTAAGATAGAGATGACTACGCAGGGAAGGGAGGGGCTGGAGCAGATGGGAACTCACACATCGAATGACTGGCTTCATGCAAGTGCTAATCTTTACCACATCTCGCCACAGGAAGCCTATAAACCAGAATGAAATGAGCAACTTAGAATGCTGGATGGCATTAGAACCATACTGGAATACGCACTAAAAACCCACTAACACTAGATCACAATCATCCCCCCTGACTTTATTTTTGTTCTATAGTAGGGATACAATTTTTAAAAAGCCTTCAAAGAAGGAAACGGGGGGGGAAAAAGCGGTCTCGATAAAGTGGTAACGCCAGGGTCACTTTTTATTTCAAGCTGCTCTCTTCGGCAGAGGGAGGTCTCTTTCACAAGGCGATCAGGCTGTTCTGAGACGGCACGCTGGAGAAATGGTTTCCGGGACGGAAAAGGTGAGGAAAGGGAACAAAAGGAGAAGGAAAGCACAAAAGTAGAGCAAAGGAAGAGAGAGAGAGAGAGGTGTGGAGGTGGGAGAAGAGTGAGAAGACATAAAGAGGTACTGTTCCAGCAGCGAGCTTCTGCGGTACAACTTGAATTTGCAGAGCGACAGTCCTTGCCACGTTCCTGTGAACCGAAGCGGCAAAGACTGTTACGCTACTGGAATATTTATAAAAGGAAATTGCTCCTTTTTCTCATTTTACCCGTGGGGATCTGAATGTGAGAAGTCTCTTTCAGCTACGCCATGTCCTGATTATGTTTTTGTTACAAGTGAGCATGAAACAATGCACGCTTGATTGTAAGAAGACTCTGACAACCCAATGGCTTATCAGAAAGATAACAGGCTGTGTAAGATAAGTTACACAATTCAATTGCAGAACTCCCATCTCCAAAATGTAAGCTTTGCCAATCTTTTTTCTTTCCATTGAGGAGTAAGAGAAGCTCGGCCGGAGAACGGATCAAGCTGATCCCCGATTAGCACATGATTTGACACCATCTGAAAGCAGAGTGCGGAGCAAAACCCCAACGCTGAAGAGTATTCGCTGCACTCTGAAGTTTGCACACACCCCAGTGTCACCTCTGCAGAACTACAACTTCACTACAAGCACTAAAAACAAACATCTAGTATAAAAAAGACTTTACTTTCTTCATACCTATTGTTATATTTTAAAATAAGATAAATGATTAGGTTTTGGTCCAAAAAAAAAGTGTCCAGTTTATTCAGCCAGTCTTAAGATCCTGAGCACAGCCCAGTCTCGTCCCCTCCAGCTGTGATGGCCCTTGGGATGGATGGGGGGCATGGCGATGTTGCTGTGGGCTCCCATCACAGCACCAGCTTCCTGTCCGGCTGCTCTGCTCGCACAGCCCTCTGATGGCGAACCTCCAGGTGTTTGCTCTGGACTCTGTCGAAGTGCTCCAGCAGCTCTCCGTAGTCAACGTGACATGGGGCAGGTCTCACTGAACCCGAAGGTCTTGTCTGGGGCCTGAAAAAAAGGGATTTATATCCTGAGAAGAAGCTCAGCTGCAGTATACAAACATTAAAAAAAACAACAAATTGCAGCACTGTTTTTTTTGTTAAGGCAAAACTAAAGTGCATTTGCCCAAAACGTAATTGATTTTCAATAACTCAAACCTAATGTGTACTTATAGAAAATATTTTTTCGTCACTGTTAGGCCCTTATGTTAATTTGACAGATATGATTCCTGAGACAAATGCAAAGAGCAGAAAGAGATTTCCACTGTTCTGAGGATATTACTTTGGATTATAACAAATCAAACCTAATTCATGAAAGAACTCAATATTTCTTTATCTGCAACTTTGTGTCACTGCATTCACCTAGTTCAACCCAAATGACTACCTAAAGCCTTTACCTTCTAAATTCCATTCTTCGTATGGATATGATTTTCTGTGTTATTTTCCTTGATAAACTAAAATATTCATAAGATGCACACCATACAGTAAATCAGAGTTCATTTTTGAAACAATTACGGACTACACAATATTCATGAACATCTCTTAATAGTACAGTATCCCTCAAGCAGTGACAAATGTCTTAAACGCAAAGCAAATTAGTGCTGTAGGAGAAGCATTCAGGGCTGTATTGGAATGCTTCGCTAGATGCCAGGTTGCTCTTGTCTCGTTCATTATGATCCTCTTGTTATTGGCCTCGTGCAGGAGACTGATGTTGTGAGAAGACGCTGAGCTGCAGATTACAAACTTAGCCAGGCTACCCGAGCAGCCTGCTTACAGCCCTCTGTCCAGTGACCCTGAGGAACAAGGGGGCAGGTAATAACTGTTGTTTAGGGTCCATGAACTGCTTTACCATCTCTAGGGAACCCTTTTAATTTAATTCAGCCCTACAGACGTCTTCCCTGGTTAATGAGCTTACTTCTCTCTCAGTGTGGATCAGGCTGGCTAAGTCAGCATAAATCAAACCCTGTGTCCCAAGACAATAGCATGACTAACACCAACACCTCTGCTAGACGTCATGATGCACATTTTGCAGGACAGTCCCAAACAGGCATACAGAACAAGCATGGTTTTGTACAGTTGTATCACAGCTGCAATGATTACAGTCCCAGTAGTGGTAAACAGACTTTAGAATTAACTATACCTAAATGGGATTGGTATTAGGTTAAAAAGAACTGCTTTTTTAAACTTAGTTCAGCTTTCAAAGGAAGTAAAAGAAAGGTGTCAAACGCCACAAGTTCAGTATAATCACAAAGTTTTGGAAATGATTTATATATTATTTCTAGTGTAGTAGAATGGATGGCTTTTCTATAACCAACTGAAAAGGGAGTTTAATCACTTCAAGGATTCAAGCTTGATCAAAAAGCTTGTCAAAAGCAGCATGATTCTTTATTTCTTATATGTAAAACAAATTAGAGTTAAATGATAATTTATAAACTGAAAAGGCTAAGAATTAGAACTGAAAATGAAATCAGTGTAAATGTTCACTTCCTGCAGATGATAAAAACCCGTTTATATTGTAAAAAGAGTTCAGAGAGGATGAATCAATCCCAGCTTCAATATCTCCTCTAACTAGGTCAGAATTGATGTCATGCTATGATGATCTCAGTGTGGCATACTCCAGATGAGCCCTACAAACCAAAGAGTTCACATGACATGAATGGAGGCGATTCAAAAAGAAGAGAAAAGGATTACAAACATAGATTTAGCATATTTAACTTAATGGTTAATGGAGAATAAAATATAAGAGTAAAAAAATAATTGAGCTGATAAAAATGTCATGAACACTTAGCTGCGGTCCTTCCTTAAGAATGATTTTTCCTAAGCCGATGAACATTACTGACAACAAAAGCCACTATCATATGTGTGGTACTATTTAAACTCTCCATCTGTCACTCAAATTCAGATTTTCAGGAAATTCTAAATGAGAACAGCTAATGTTTCTACAGGTTCTGAGCCTTAAAATCGGAGACAGAGTCTGGGGTTACTTCTGCACCAAGATCAAGTGTCAGTGGTGTTGCCTCACACATCAGGATTACTGATGTGTATTATTACCTGACCCATGCTCTCTGGAGGACATACGCTGGCACAAAGACTGCCATTCCCTCAGCTTTTACAGCACTCATTTTGTAAGCAGCCTTTATTTTTTCTATTCACAATAAAACAAGAGCAAAACTAAAAAAAGGGGGAAAATTGGTGAAGTGTGCCAGATATAATATAATGCCACAATTGTTATGCTCATTCCAGGACGCTTTTCATGGCCTGAGGATATTAGATAGGTTGGAAAGATGATAGGATTTTAATAAACAGTTTAAGATCAATATCAAGTGATGTTCCCATGTGTGAACGTCAGAAGGCACACAACTAACACAATGTGCTAAACAAAGTGAAAATAACATCATTTGGCCAAGAGGCATTTGTTTTGGCATTTTGGTGTTAACTTGTGAATGAAGTTAACTGGGTACACACTGAGGGGAAATGTACAACACACTGACAAAATGAAAAGGTGATGCTCATATTTCTAGAATGGCTTTTGCATCACATTGAAGATGTGGCCTTTGCAGAGGTTCACAAAATAATCTGCTCTTCATCAATGTCACCTTTTCCTAAAGGTCCGTCCTTCCCAAGAAAAATGTCAACTTCAACACTGCTTCGTCAACCTCACCCAACTCTCACACTACCCTGCCAACCCCCCCGAACCATTTTTACATTTCCTAAACAAAGTTTTATACATGCTTGATTAACTCATATGGTAAATGGTGGTAAATGCCCAGACAGTGGTCACTGACTGTTTTCACACCATACTGTATGAACCTACAATATGCAATGCAGAAAGTTGTTGTGCTTCCCCAAATGTACTGGCATAGCACAAACACAATTATCAAGAAAAAATAGACAACGGAAAAAATAGTCTCTGATGTCCTGCTCACAGTTTCTGTGCCTGCTTTATTCAGCAAAGCAAAAGTGATTTGGATAATGAACTTGAATTGCCTAGTCTCAAAGTCTTTTACTACCCTAAAGGACACTGCACTGAAACAAATCATTTATCCCAAACACGCAAGACGGTGAGGCTTGCTCTAGGATAAACAGTTTCGTCAGCTCCATAAAGCTGGATACTAAACTAACACATTCTTGGTAAGTTTTGTAATAAGACAGGGTTGAATTCATTTAATTTCCAGCTGATACTTTACAAGGATCACCTCAGTTTTTACCATTTTTTTTGTTTAGTTTTTAGGAGCACAAATGAACAATATAATAGAACAATGTATTTAAAAAAATGAACCCATTTTCACCCCAAATCCTCCCCAGATGATAATCCATCCCCTCCCCCTCTCCAACAACAAATCTTCCCCTTTCAACAGAGCAAAGTTCCCCTAGGGGAACTGAATCATCCTTCTAAAAATATTCACAAGTGGCTTGGAGAAGAAATTGGTTTTGTTTTCTCTAAACTTCCTAAAGAAAAAAAAAACCCAAATCCAAATTTAAAAATAAGGAATTGAACATTACAGTTGCAAATGTACTAAAACTTCCAGTGCTTAAAATGACACGCATTTTAATACATAACCGGTGTTACACGTTCGTGTCATTTTAACTCAAGTGATCAAGTTTTTTTCTCCTGCTTTGCATGAGGACCTGAGCTGACTTGGTTATGGGTATGTTAGCCTGGCGACCAGATACAGGTATTTGTCATTCTCAAACGCACGGATAAAGTTCTCTTCAGAATAAACAGTGAAATATGGAACAAGAGAACATTGCAGACAACATGGAAGTACATTTAAAAATGAGAACAGGAGGCAGTTCTATAGCCAAAGCATTGTGGGACTATGGAGCAAGCTGTCCAGCCATACTGGTTAAGCTGATACTCTAGCTTCCATGAAGAAACAACTGGGAGAGATCACAGATCGATTAGCTACTTAAGCTAAATTGACTTAATGGCCTCTCTTTTGTCCATTTTTACATTCTTATGTAGTTAAGGTAAAAACAAACAAATACACATTAGTGATAATCACAAATAAGTCAGCTTGGCCTTGAACCCAACAGACTGCCACCTTTCAGCTCTGGAACATTACTCTGCTCTGACCCTCTGACCCCAACCACTGAGCTTGGAAAAGATTAGTCCTACGAACTGCAAAGGATCTTGATAAATCCATAACGCACAGGAGACTGAAGCTTGTGCCACTCTTATTAGCCATGTTGGGTCACATTGCCTTTTGTGATCTTCTCTAACTCCAAAAAAGTCTTACAGAACAGCAGGTTGCATGAGAAAGATGATCTTTGAGCTTTAGGCAAACAGGAAAAAAAAATAAAACAGCCAAGGAATGTCCTTTTTTTTTAAGTTAATGAGACATTTACACAAGTTTATATTGTGACTCATGGAAGCGAGTTGATGTTTGGCACAATAACTCATTTACAGATGGAGATGGAGGTAGTTCTGGGTACAGAAAACTTACGCAGCTCGCATGAGCTCTGGGTTGGGTACACAGCGCAGACGGTGGGATAGCAGCTGGAACGCATGGCTCTGTGGCAGGAGCATGAGGAGGCCATACAGAGCCTTGATCAGGTAGGGGTTGTTCTCCACATCCAGGAGCTGCAGCCGCAGGTCTAAGGAGTGCCAGAAAGTTAGAGGCGGAGCAAAGCGCTTCTTAAAAACAAACATCTGCTCAGCAAAGCCAATTTTATTTTTTGAAAGTAGTGAAAAATAAAACAAAATCTGTGCTATGTTTGGAGTTATACTTAGAGAGGGAACAGAAATCTAAAACTGTAAATAACGAAAGATCTTATCCGGTGTGAAACACCCAACACACTCCCCTTCCACATATACAACAGCCTACAGGAAAAGGCTCCACAATGAGCTGGGTACTGGAGAAGACGTGCCCTGCAATGGAGACCATACTTCTGACCATTCTGAGCTGCCTAAGCTTCCCTATCAAGTTCAGCCTCCATTTTGAAGGGTGAGCAAAAAAGATTCATGGCCATTTTCACCTCATGTTAGAAAATGACATCTTCAATATGGCGGGTACAAAAATGATTGCTGCTCTTGCCAATGAATTTTCATGACTGGACACACCAGTGCACGAATAAAGTGACGACGAAATTTTCTTCACTTTTCATTTCCTTTCTCCCTGCAGCCACATTGTCATCCTTCCCATCAGTTTTCATCTAAAAACCGCTACCATTCTGCACATCCAAACACATGCATAATTCTGTCTCATGTACAGTAAATAGCAAATATGACTGTTCCTATTCCCTTGTGCTGCCCCTTGGTGTACAGTATATTATTCAATCTCCTGTCTGGTTTTTGTCCTGCTTCTTTCTGTTAACGGTCTCTTTCAAAGTGACGAACAGTGAGATGACCAGAGCAGTATTGGTGGGGATGTATGGGATTGGAAGGGGTTGCGATATTGCCGTGCCAGTTTTCACCCGTCCCCACCCCCTCCTTCCGCCGTTATCCATCTTCCTGCCCACACAGCTGAATGTAGGTCTGTGCTTGCCTACAGCCATCAGCAATCAGTTCTGCCCCAGTTACTGATACGGCATTGGCAGGATAACAACCAAATGCGCACGCACACAGGCCAACAGAAACACAGACCCACATTCAACATCACTGCAGACCAAAGAGAAGATGTCTGCTAAAGAAAAAACAGACCTTAAGATATACGATGTGGTTATCTATGCTTTCAAAGTCATGGAAGCATAATATGAAATAAAGTTTGTGGACGGGCGATGAACAGGAGAGCATGCGGGACCAATGCTGAGTGGGGTGAGATCCCCAGACAGTATGCGATTAAAGTGGAGTGGGTTGGGCAGGTGTTACATATGGCGAGGTGTGCCGAGACTCACATGTAAAGATGGGGCTCTCGATGAGCTGCACCAGTTTGTCCACTTCCATCAGGAAGTCCACTGTCACTTCCAGGTCTCCGCTGATTGTTGATGTCAAGGAGAAAGCTTTGTCACACTACAGAATAGAGTATCACACCGAACAGATTTAAAGAAATGATGTATGAAATGATATAAGAAGGATTACCTGTAATGCTTGGTTTTTCTCACTTATACCCTTTATCTAACACAGAAAAGTCCTAAAACTAGCTGGCCTTTTTTGTCTCCAGCAGAACCTCCGTTTACTTGGTTCACCGCACTTCAGGAAGCAAGAAGTGATTAAGCACGTTTGGAATTCCCCCTTTCCAATTTGGGCCGACCTACAACTCTTTGGAAAAAAGGCTTCATTAAAAACAAAAGAAATTAATAAGAATGTTCAGGAGACTTACTGGGCTCTGGAAAAAAAAAAGTTTAAAACACTGCTGACATTTAACATTTCAGACATCTACCATGAGCCCTACAGTAAACTGAAGCATCCTCATTAGAAATCTGCACAGCTTACTTCCTCTCTATAATGCCCAAGTTTCACCTGCCATGCTCAAACAATAGTGTCCCCAGTGGAGTCCATTAGCAACATTTCCAAAGCAGTACATTATCGTCCACAATGTTTATAAACATAACATACAGTATACCAACTCTGTGTGCACGTCACAGCTGTGCCAGGAGTGCTAATGTGAAAGGAGCTGCAAATCTCTCAAGCTGCCATGCCCTAAACAAGCAAACAATAGAGATAAGAGGAGGAGGAAAGAGGTATTAAGAAACACAATCATTAATATTTCAAATTTGCTCAATCTGAATTATTTAAACAGGTTTTTTATGCTGCAGCCAGTAGTCAGTCTCAGTATTAAAGTACAACCTTCAGATCACCTCTCCCTAAATGTTTCTCAAGGGGTTGCAGAGGTCACCTCACTCTGAGCAGGGCTTCTAATATGCTGTCCCAGCAAAATGAGCTGACACACCACATAAAAGCTACAACCAACTTGACCTTAATAACACCTCATTCCCTGACTGATTTATGGCAACACTCAGCTTTCACTACATCTGATCCCATGTTGAAGAACCGTATCCACGCCCAACTTATCCAGAAACCCAGCTGTAGAGAGAACAATAATTACAGTGGTCCAATGCGGCCTGGTTTTTCAGTTCAGATTGCTGTCCCTTTTATTTTGGTTGGATAAAGGGACTATGCACTGATGAGTAGAAACAGGCAGCCAGAGCCACTCCCATCATGATGTATAAACAGCTCCTTCTGCCTTCTATAAATGGAGAAGTGAGGAGGAACAGGGTGGCTGGTGAGTTTACTGTGACAGTGTGAGTAGAAGACTGCACAGAATCTTGCCAGCACCGCACAAATATAAAACTGTACAGCCTTTTATTTGGCGAGGCAGATAATAGCTTCTTTTTGTTTTCACCACTGACATGCAAGGCAGAGATTTTCAGATTTTAAACCTGTCAAGTCAAAACTTAACAAAATGGCTTTGAGATAGAAGTTTCTGGACAAATATCATGCTGCAAGGATGCAATATGCTTTTGTACTGAAGGAACCAGTCTGGTTACATGAAAATATTCCAATAGCAAAAAGGCTATAACTGGGAGATTAAAATCAGCATAAGAACCACAGATTGCTTTATAATACAGCAAATGTTTTTGTGTTCCAAACCATGCAGTAAAGTCAGGGTCAGAGGGACACAGAGCCATTTGAAATTGTTCATTCTGGACAAGTGTAACCGATACATTGGATACACCTTGGAACATTGCTGTTCAATCATGAAAAGCAAACACACCAACGTTTCCAAAATAATACATTCGTCTGTGCATCAACCAGTAGGTGATGGCTTGATCAAAGCTTTTTCAGAGTTACACACCTCTCATTCTCAAAAGAGAAACACAGAACAATCAGAGAAATAAGAAAACTTTAGAGCCCTTGAAAAACATTTCACCCTGGATGTTAGTTGTATTTAATCTTGCTCGGGAACGATAATGAACCAGCCCACTCCAAATTAGGTTGCTTCTTATTTTTAAAAAAGAGATATAAGAAAGGCAAGCATTTTTCTCCTTATTTAGTAAAGTGTTTTAGGGGATGCATTTTATCTAAATCTCATGTTTGAATCCTGCCTAGTTTTAAATGCCATAATCTCCAGCTGTTCTGAGAAGTACAAAACATTCAATCAATCCTGTAAGCAAAATTGTGAAGCCTTCTGCATTAGGTTTTCATTGATCACAGCAAGGGGTAAAGAGAGTACCCTTTAATTACAATGGTGATGCACAAGCGCTAGAAATGGGGACAAAAGTGTTTTGCCACCTTAATCTGAAATCCTGCCTTAAAGCTAAGCAAGTGGAGTCATATCTAACCTTGCCAAACTTCACACACACCCAGCCAAAGTGCAGATAAGGCAGACTTCATTCTTAGCATGCAGGATGTTGCTCTGCAAACCTGAGAGAGGTCATAGTGTATTCAAATTCCTACAATAATGCTGCTCTGCATACATGGTTGTGTAAAGTGTTGGAATTTCCAATGCTATGTTTTGACATTGAGGCAGGCATTAAACTATACCCAATACTTTTATAAATTCATTTTCTGCCTAAGATTCTGCATTAACTTACTGTTTTATATGGCCTTTCAGCACATAGCTGAAGAGCTGTTTAATGTTCAGTATACCAAATTCCTGCAGTAACTGTGTGAAAAGCGTTTTGTCTCATCTTGTAGACCCAACTCAACTCAAGAGGATACAACTTCTGGATGAGATCATAGGCGTGCTTGTAGTTTTGTGTCAGGAAGCAGAGGGAGACGGTAGCAACGGGGTTGTGACACCAGGATCGGTACAGACAGCAGAACAGGGTGCAGCTCTCCTGGGGGAACAAATGCACACCCACAATGAGAGAGCAACCGAGAGCTATACCAAGTCACAGCAGCATGTATGCACCAGCTGCTCTGCACCCTGGGACAGTGACCAGGGCATAACAAAGTCAAACACAAGTGGGGGGACAGCAAAGCACAAGACATTTCACCACTTAAAATTATAAATGGTTTTCATGTATCACGTGAGGTTTTAAAGTATCACCATACTGGCAATAGAAGGCTTGTAATTATATAAGTGCAGGACGGAAACAAGGTTATGAACAGTTCTTTACTTGCATATAGAAAGAGCAAGAAATTTCTATTTTAATAACACAAAATAGTTTTCTGAAAGTGCAGAACTGAAATCATGCAATACAAGTGTACAGGTAGATGACAGCTGGGAAATCACTGAAGAGGGAAAAGGCTCTACTTCAAATGCAAAACTATGCTTTTCTGGTCTGCAAATAAGGAGATATCTGCTGCATCTGTGGGCTGTATACTTTTAAAGATGTGGCAAGGATTGTGCTACACTTATAACCAGTTAGCAGGTTGAATCTGTGTGTACCTGTGTGTGAAGGTCCTTGAGCTGGTTGCGCAGCTGGAAGAGTTCAGCGGAGGTTAGAAGGATAGTGTTGAGGGTCTGGACCATAGTGGATGCAAACTTGAGGTCTTCTTCTTTCAGAAGGATGTCAGCCATGGAGTGAAAAATATTCTCTGCATTCAAGAGGAGGCACAGCTGCCTGGGAAGATAAAACAAAGAGCCAAGTCAGCAGAGCCAGACTGCCTCCCTCACATAACTCAGCCTGCAGCCTTCGCTCTCTCGCTGACAAACCCCATCGCGCTGCTGCCCTACGAAGGCATTCGGATCAGCAGCAGCTTTGGTAAATCCAGCTGACAGCAACCGAGAGGTTCTTCATCTTAGGATGAAGAGTTTGAAGGGTCAATGAAGATCATCTGGACCATGAATTAGGCAATTCACAACAAGGGGAGAGCAACAGCCTACCACAGTTTCACTGATGCATCTCTTCAGGGAATCTTTCAGAAATATGAATTTGTGCTTATTGACTAGTGCAATGCATTCTTCCATTACTGGGGTAGCTGGGCCTCACACTCCTGCTGCACCTTCATAAGTTAAATAAACCATTGGACTTCCCACATGTCGACGGCTCAGGTCTTTCACACTTTTTTACTTTGCCATCAGCATACAGAATGGTTATTTAGTTGGGGGCGATACTGCCGTCATTGCAGGACTGACCATAACTGTACATAAATGACAAGGGAACAGTAATGCTTTCTGATTGCAGGATGTTCTGAATGCAGAAATAGCTTAAGTGGGTTATTTTCAGCAAAGTGGACAATCTGGCGTTAGACTTTTGTACGAACAAAGTGGAATGAATGCCACCTACTCATGCTGGCCTCCCACTGATGCTAGTGACATACTTGTGGGAGCCTGAGTGTAGTTTTGTTAATGGCAAGAGGTGCATGTTATGAAAGGTCACGATAACAGTGTAGGACGATGATGGGTTTCTGCGACTCCCTCCCATCCTTTTCCGTGTCTGTGGGCAGAAGTACATCCAAACCAGCGCGTTAACACATGCTTTTTGTTCTTGACTTGGGGGGGGGACATAACCAGTAGAAATTAGGCCAGAGTGACACACAGCCAGAACCTTCCCTGCTGCTGTCACCCAGAGATTTTACAGTGATTCAGGCATATGCAAATTCCATGTTTAACCACTGTATTTCTCTGGTGCTGCAGTTTGTTTCTTTTGTTCTGCTACTTTGGACAACTAAGTACCTATTGCAACATCACTTCACCAGTAGAGTCAAACTAACCTGTCTCCCAAAGGTCTAATCCCAGCTCATGTGCCCTATTAATAGGTGAACAATCCATAGCTCTGTGCGCAATGAAGGCTTCATCAGGGTGAAATACAGCACACCCCCACATTCTACCCAAGGATCTCTCATCTGCAGCTCTCTAGGGCTCTCATCATTGCCTCTCCTTCTTACAGACATCAACTGCACACCCATTCATCTCTTCTCCACTCTCTGTTACCAACAAATGTGCTGTGGCAGTCCTCCAAGGACTTGTAGGCAACAAGTAAGAGATGCTACGGCTTACGTTATCTTTGTTTTCGCCTACACTGACTGCTCCAGGGTGATGTCTTAGAACGTTTCATGTGACAGAATCAAAATGTACTCTTAACAAACCTCAACATTTTCGCATATATCCCTCTGTGTTGCAGCCCTTTGTCTATAAAAGCACTTCTAGTCTTCTTGCTGCACACAGAAACCTACATCCTCTTGCCACAGGATAACAAAGATAATGGTAAGACAGTGATCAACCTTTAAAGCAAAAAAAACAAAGAGACAAACACATATGAGTGCGAGAGTGTTGAAGGTCAGAGTTTTTTTTCCCCCAACATTTACCCTTATGTTTTGGCCTTCACTCTGAAATAAACTAGTAAGAGAGGTGGTCCCTTGCAGTACTACAAGACCCAGTATTTCTCAATATGCCCTGTCCACTAAAAACAATTTAAATCCCTCATAACTGGAGCTACAAATAAGTGACGCCCACCATACATCAATTTAAAAATCCTTATATTTGCAAGAATATAATAGAACAGGAATTTCAAAGGAATATTTTTCTAATTCTTCATTTATGTTTTTGAAATACAGTGGTTACAAATATAATGAAGACTAGTTTCTAGATTGATCCTAAATATGTATGAATAATTATTTCATGCTTTTCAAATACTCAGGGAGCACAAAGGCATGAAACAACCATTAGTACTAATTGAAGGGCACCATCTGTCAAGAGGAATTCAGTGTCCCTGTGGACAGATTATTTCCCACAATTGTATAACCATCAGAAAAATGATAGTCCTTTCGAGACACTTAGTAGCCATATCAAGCAGTTTGTCAGTCAGTGCTGTCAAGTGATTGTGTTCCACGAACCTGAATGCCCATGAAACCTTCAGAGAGACAGACCCAACAGATACTAGATTTGAACAGCACACCTCTCTTCAAGATACCCGTGTACAGTAGTGGATTCTTTGATGTAAGCCAGAAATCTACTGAAATAGATTTGTTTTCTTGTACAAAAGTCGTTTAGGCCTGAAAGTTTCTGGGCCTGTAACCTGAGACACTGCTGAGATACTGAGAACAAAGACACTGCTACAGCCTTGTACAATATTCCTGATGCACTTGGTGACCTCCATAACAAGCCAAAAAAGCTGCTTTCGGAACTCCTATAAAGAATAAACTCGTCTTCGTAAAGATGTCTTCTTTATCACGGTAAGGAGTGAGAGCCTAAAGGAGTGAGGAGTAATGAGCAAGGAGTGAGAGCCTAAATTAAAAAAAAAATACTACAGGACATAATGTCCAAGAAGCAGTCCCAACATATTTCAGAGTAATTCATACAGAATATACTGTATATAAAAAACACATGTGGCATGCCTAGAGAAAACAACAAATGTATTTTTGAAATTTAGAAAAGTGACTATTTTAAATGATGTGGTTTGCTCAGACAATTAAAATAGAAGATAGCATTAAAAAAATAAAAAACAAAACTTTTTTTAAACACGCAAGACAACTAATTAAAAGTTCTGTGGGTTAAAAGTGGAAAGTCAAAATAACTTAATTCTGTACCAGAGAAGACTGTCTAAACCTATATGACACTAAAGTAAAACTGTGCTCTGATTTGCTTAACAGTCTATGGGGGTTTCAGAGTAAAATGGCTCTTTTGCTGCCAGTAAAACTTCCAATTAAATCTCTCATTAACAGATGTATCTCCTGTTTCAAATTAAATTTTAAAGCATAACCTTGACAGCAGGTGCTTTATTTAGAAACACATGGAAAATGTCATCAGGAAAAAATGAATGGAAGGTAAAGCTGTCTTTAATAACCTTTTTAAATACTGCATTAATTATATGTACGCCACAAGTGTTAAGGAAATATTCTCATAGTTTAAAAAAAATAATGCCCATATAAATGATCTCACTACTATTAAATGTGCACTTCAGTGCATCAGCTCTACTATGCTGCCCGTTACGACTGAGGGCAGTGGTCTGGGACCTCTTCACGGCTCCATCAAGGACTGATGCCAGGGACAGGGTGGCACTGTGTTTCTTCACTGTGACTGAAACAGTAAGAAACAGGGGACCCGAGCATACAGACGTATAGCTGACGGCCTCGTCCTCCCACACAGGAAGGGATCACTTTGCACTTTCTTCACAAGGGAGGATTGAACCAGGAAACGTCCTATCACATGTGCCACGGGTGATGGTTACACGGCATTTCAAGCTGTAGTTCGGTCGACTAATGGGAAACCTTTCAAAGCCTGGAGGGACAATTTAGTATAGCCAGTTGAACCTAACCTGCAGACATGTTGGAAGGGAGAGGAAACTGGAACTCCAGGAGAAAACTAAGGAGGACAGGGGGAGGACGTGCAAACTCCTGCCTAGAATCAACACAGAAGAACCAGGAGCTGTGATGCAGCAGCACCTACTGTACCACTATGCCACCTGAATGTTGAGAGACAGTAACAATGGGAATATAAACTATTGCGACCGATCCACCAAAAGTCCAGTATTTTAACTGGGACTTAATGTTGACTGTGTCCACCAAAGGCAAAAGGCAGCCACTTTTGCTGGGAATCCTTCTAATCATAGTTAAATGACTGCTAGGAGCCTCAGTCCTTCCCATATGCACAGATAAGGAACCAAATAGAAAAGAACGTATGCTTTTTTAAACAAATTTAAAGCATCTACACTGACTCTATGCAACACTTAAAATCTAAAAATTCACAATTTTAGCATTTGAGATTACAAAGCGGGGTGCGTTTTATTCTTATAAGAAATAACACCCTGCCATTTCACAGCTCTTCTCTCCTGACACAAGCTTTTTTCCCCCAGGACGGATGTGTATTGACTCTCTCTGAATAGGGCTGATCCACAGGCCTGATGCAGTTGCCATGGCGATGTTGAAGGAAAACATCTGGGGAAGAGAACCTGCCCCTTTAAGAGCCCCAGTGTGCATCCCAGTGCGAGTCAGTGTGCACCATTGCACTCATTCCACACATACTTGGCAGGAAATCTCTCTACTACAGATGTGTTTCAGCACCCAAACTCCAATAAGAAAGTAACACAACATGCGGTTAATGTTCCCATTTAAGAACTCTTGAAAAGTCACGAAAAAATGCATTTTTTTCTTTTACAGTCATACTTAAGCTCCCTTCTTTTCAAAGGAAACCAGACATCACAGCAGAAATATTGACCAGCGGACCCGTTTATGACACCCTGCCACAGGACCTTCTGGGAGAGGGGTCATAGCCGCCTTTTATTTGGTCCTTGCAACGCAAAGGAAAAGCACCCAACAAAATATGTGCTCAGTTATAAAAGTACAAAAGGTTGGAACGGCTTCACAGAGCGTTTTAAATCTGAGACATGGTAGGAACAGTGTGGTAACTGCAGTGTGGCAATCCTTTTGCATGATAAACAGGTCTGGGTTTCAAGCACCAACTCAATATTCAATAGAATTTAACTGGCCTATAGCAAAATAATTCATTATTTGCTATGTACACACTAGAGAGATATTGTAGGGAATGAACAACCTTGCAAATACCATCATCTAACAGTAATATGGGGGATTGGCTACAGACACAAAAGCAACCACATTTTTGGTATAATAACTATGTAATCAAAAAATAAACAAGTGATCAATATGTATATTTGCTATAAATGGAAGTTTATCGCAAATGCAAGATACATAGAACTAAAAGTCTTTCACCAGACTTGCATTTAATGTACCATTCTTTATGTTTTCCTCTTCTTCTAAATGAAATACTCTTAAGCTTTGCACTGTACCTACAGAACGAGTGCAGTGAGCTCACAGCAAGCTTGCTCAATAATTCAACTTTCATGCTCAACATCATCCCTTCTTTCCCTTTTAGCCTGTCATCCACTCGCTGCACTATTGTTCCATTCTCTTTTAGTTGCTATGATTAAGAGTCTAGATTAATGCTGAAATACTGTAACGTACTGAATGTTAAAATTTCATTAGAGCACAGTAACAAAGTGTCGTTATGCAGCTGGGGGAAGAGAATGAATTGTATTGAATATTCAAAGCCAAGAACTACAAATCCATGAATTGCAAGGGTTTTCTGCATGACTTAATATACCTAGAAGCACAGGCCAAACAGGACTGTATTTTCAGGCACACCACCCGGCACAGGTAGCCCTCTATCTGCCAAGCTAAAAGGGAATTATTATAATCATAATGCAATATCATATTAATGGTAGAATTAAAATGCAATTGTATTTTAAGACTTAATTCAAATTGCATTCAAATATGTTATTATTAATAATTCTGTGGTGATCAAACATCAATTACAAGAAAATGTAACGGAAGTGTAAAACCACACAGAGCAGACTCCCCCCCCACCAGAATGTTAGACATTGAACAACAAGGGCAAATGAAATATACATTAAGGTAGATTAAGTTCCAGTGCATTGAAATAGGAGCGACACCAAAGGCAATGACAAGTCATATATATAGATAGACTTAAAATGTTTTATAACCCACCTCTCGAGGACTGTAATGTTGCTTTGTTAAAGAAATCAAATACAAATCACCCATGTTGCTGATGAATATTTCTTTAGACAAAATATATGTCTAAAAATATAAGAAAAATTAATGATAAAGTCCAATATAGTTATACATTGTCCCATTTTTCAAAAATACTACTTTTTTGTTGCAGGCAGCTTACTTTCTGACTATTACCTTTGAAAACACTGAAATTCTACTTATTTTCTAAATATATGCAAAAGTGTAACGTGTGCCATGGCTGTTCCAAGAATGCAAGGTAATTGCGTAACATGTATCTTTCTCTGATAGCCCAACCTAAGTATGGAGAGGTGGAAATAAAAGGTGTTAGGGTCCATGTTTGGCCCTTTTTTTAACATAGATTACCTTCACTTTATTTCCTTTCTGTGTAGTGTTTATGTTCAGTGTATACTGTGGTGGTGGAGAAGGGGAAACCCCATTACCTGTAAAGTGGTTTGAGTGGTGTGTCCAGAAAACCACTTATATAAGTGTAAGGATTTCATTCATATATTATTATAACAGCAAAAACAAATATTAACAGGATCATCTTACTTGTTTTCACCTGCACAGTATTAACAGTATGTCGCATTATCAGATGCAAGCAATGAAAAACACTCTCCTGAATGTGGAGGTCACTACATCCCCTGTGAAACATTCTACAGCATCAGTAGTCAGGTGCAAAGGAGAGTCATAGTGACTGGTCAGGAAACCATGTGCTTCCCGGTTGTTGAACAGAGCATCGCAGTTGGAAAACACAGTCAGATAATCTAATAGTTCAAAATCACAAAAGTCTCAAGTTGTACGTCAATAACTACGATTATTATATTCATGGTATTAATAAGCCTCAGCTGATGTTGTGCTAACAGCATGTCCTACCTGATAATGAAGGCACCCCTGATCTCCAGTAGTTTCCTCTCCATGCTGAATCTGTTGAGCAGGTTGATCATGAACTTGTAGAAGTAAGAGTTCATGCTGGGGGTGGAGGGGGAACAATCTGTACCTTTCGAACCTGCAGCACAGGACCAGGATAGATGTCAGATACACTGGAACTTTTATCAGTACCTCCAATGACATAAAATGGGGACTTTGTAGAACATCATCACTGTAGTACGATGCAATCACCAAGGGCAAGAAACCGATTTGGGCTGAAACGGATTTAAATCCTTCAAGTCTCAATCTTTCTACAATGATGTCAAAGCAAAAAGCAGACCAGATGTGTGTATAATGGCTCAGGAGCATACAAGCCTTTAATTTTGTGTTACAAAATCACTAATGTAATAACTAATAAGAAGATAAAATTAGTAACTGCAGATAAACAGGACTCACTTATTGACTTATTAATTACTTGATTGTATGATCATTTTAAAATACGACCTATGAACTGCAATAGAGCAGACTGTGGACAGCAGTGTAAAAAAGAATGGAGTCTCACAAGGATACATTACTGTATCTCTAGGCATATGTGAGACAGTGACTATAAGATAAAAAACAGTACTTATGAAAGAACTGCCCCTGCAATTAAAAGGGAAATGCCATATATAATAATTCCTGAAATTAATGTTAAAATACATTGAAAAAGAATTACATGGATATTGTTCCTGACTAGACATTTGCCTTTGTGTATATACACATAAACACACATGCATACAGAATGTATTTGAGATTTTTTGTGGACATCTGCATTGCACTATTCCATAATGTGCCCTAGCTTTCATCTCTTAATCCAAACAGGAATGCCAATAAATAAATGGCTTCTGAATCACATTGTTGTCCCAGCACACTCCTTACTCGCCCACTAACGAGAGACAGCTGGGGTCTGGTCCTCTCTGAAATCCCAGCGACAGAGGGCTGCAGGAATTTCTGGGAATCTGTTTAATGTGGAAAAAAAGGACTTGGAAGCTTTCCCTGGGGACTGGAAAACATCTTTGTGGGTCAAAGGTGAGAAAAGATGCATTTGAAATCCCAACACTGGGGAAAGGCAGCCTTGAGGGGACAGAGGGAGTCAAAGAAAAATACAAAAGTCCTTTCCTCTACATACTCAGAAGAGGAAAAGACATTGCAAACTGCGGTCATGTACTTCTTTTCCCTGTATTCAACAAGACAGTATGCATCAAAACCAAGTTATAGCTGGGCTGAATGATCACTGATCCAAGCCTCTCTGCGTCTTTTCCTAAGATGCAGGAATGCTACCATGAAAGTTTACACATTTTAACAAACACTCATGGACATTTTAAAAGTTGTCCAGCACAGATACAATTCACTAATGCTTGAGAACTTTTCTTTTGAGCTCAATACTTATCAATTGTTAAGTTATTCAGAAAATGACTGACTTTGTGGAATTAAAATAACTTTAAATTGCTGCACGCAGTGACCCAGTTATGTAGAGCTTGTAAACATACAGTCTATTTTCCACTACATATTAGATTAGGCTTTTTTATTTTTAAAACTTGGGCCCATTGTTTCTTTTCGAAATACTTACCGACATGGGATTTCCTCTATGAGGCAAAAGATGAGTGTTCTTAATTTCTCACCGAAGTGTTTAAGAACAGACAAACTCAAGATGGGCCATGGGTCAAGGTGGGATTTTCTTGACCTTTGTTCCCCTCTGATGTTTTACAACATCTCCATCTGCCCATCAGCATCACAGGCAAGCAGGCTGCTGTTGCCAGATGTGCAGAACAGAACTTGGCTATAAAATGAAATCTGACTCTGTGTGCCCTGTTGCAGGCAACCCGTGCTATGCCTATAAAAGGAATCTGTGGCCTGTGGAAATTTTCAATTAGTTTCTGTTCTGTTTCTGTAACACCTATCACCTTACACTTCAAACTGCTTCACTCTAGACGCTGCTGAACACTAGCTCTGTTTGAAAAGTAAATGTTTATACAATAATACTTAAACATATTTTTTATTTAAAGGAAAATGGTGGTTACAATTGCAGACATTCTGTGGAGCTGGGTAATATATTTTAATACCCTCCTGCTCCTTATTTTTTTATTACCGACTTCGAAATCAACACAGCAAGGTCAAGGAGGTCACACAGTGAGTGGCTAAACTGAAGACAGTATTTTCTTTCTTTCTTTCGTCGACCTCACTCCCTCACAAGACAAACCTTCTGAGGAAAAAGCTACTTCGCAGTCTCCTGGTGAGCCAAAGAGTGATTTGATCCATTTCAGAGAAACATGGGCAGTCATTTCCATGACAATAAGCAGCTTCCTCTCCTCTGTGCCACACAATGCACCGTTTATCATTCCATCCAGCACACACACGCATCCCAGAGTGCTCTGGGGCCAAGGAGGAAGGGAGTACGTCGTCATGACAACTGCTGGGAATGGGGGGCCATCAGCATGCACTTCCACATCCAGACTAATATCTACACAATGGCAGATTACAAGTCTCGAGACAAGGCATCGAGATGAGTGGTGTTTGTGTGCTGTGGTACTGTATGTCAGCTCCACCTTACACATTCATTCAAATTATTTTTTAAAATGCTGTGGTCAATGAGGGTATCAAGAGGTTGTGAAAACATACTCTGATGGACGTTTGCTATGATTGCGATGTTGATCGAAAAGCCCTCTGGCCTTCTTGTGCCTCTGTCAGGAATATCGTGAAATAACACCCAAGTACAGGGTGACAGATACCGTTGTTCACATTTTCTTTAAAACCAAATGGAAGAAGTGGATGATAATTGTTTCAACTTCTTTCGGTAACAGTGTCCTCCTCATGAGAGGAGTAAATCCTGACGACCTGAGAGTGAACCAGAGCTGAGGAGCCCCAATGCAAAGCCCCCAAAGAAACAGGAAAAGGCAATAAATCCAATTAGAGACAATGAGAGGAGAAGGGGGAGCAACAAAGGAAATGGGAACAGACAGGGGGGAAAGGGACTCCAGAGAGAGACACATGAATATATATATATACAAACAAGCAATGAAAAATATGTTAATCATGGCACAATTGCTTTGGACTAAGAGTCGCTGATTCAGTGGGTGAGATCAAGAAACAGCATTAATCCACATGCCTTTGAAAATAGAGTAATCAGAAATCCCCACTAGGGCACCAAATGAAGACACAGAAAAGAGAGTGTTTGTTACCTAGAACATAAGAAAGGTTGCATACAAGGGGAGGCCATTGGTCCAGTCATGTCTGTTTGGTCATTAGTGCTTCATTTATCCATGGATCCTTTCCAGCCACGTCTTGAAGGAAGCCAGAGTACTGGTTTCCAGAGCAGGACAGGGTAGATTGTTTCTACAATCTTTTGCGTCAAGTGTTTATGGTTCTTAACTTACTCCCACATACTGTAGTATTCCTAATTCTCCCGTATTTATGCCTGGTCAAGGGTTAGTTCATAGCACTGTCTGAAGTTCCAGAGCTACAAATCAAGTAAGGGGTCAAAAGGTTAAAGGCTTTGTCATTTAGGGGGTAAATGACCTTTCATTCAACCATCCTGTACTGTTGTATAAATCATATGATGGTATTTATATGAAGCCTAATCATGAACACTTAAAAGGTATAGACCTGATAATCATGCACAGAAAAAAAACAAAAGAAAAAAAAACTGTCCAGAAAGGAAAATCCAAAAATGTATTCTTAAAGTATCTTACTAACCAGTTGTGCTATGAACATTGCAGAGCAACTGAAGTTTAAGATGAAAGATTTGCAGCTCAGTCAAAGTATAAGAAGGAGCCATCACTCTGATAAACAGCTGAGCTGTTACCTATTATTAGAAAGATGTGAAAGAGAAAGGCTGGCCTCTGCTGTCAGCGTCAGAAGGGCAGAGGTTCACACTCACCCACACCTGGCTGGACGGGCTTGGCTGATGCAGGGACCTGGAGCTCTGCTTTGCTCTCGGCATTGTCACATGACCCTGGAGCGTCTGTCTGACCAGCGGGGGAGGAGGCGATCTCAGCCAGAACCTCCAGGTCCTTGAGAATGACCTGGGAACAAAAGGATGGGGTCAGCGGGAGGGAACAGCGTGCGATCTCTTCATTCATCCAAAAACCCGCCGGCCCACGGCTCTGAGGAAGGACAATGTTGCGTGTCGTCTTATCCGCCCTCCAAACAAAATAATTTTAAATAAAGACAAACACTTCCATGAGCTACAGGCAGCAGTGTGGACTTGCAGTGATGACTGAATGGAAGGGGATTCAAGCACAAGGAGGGTTCAGGCACTCCTGAACCAAGTACAGCTCTCAGATTGCTCCAGTAAAATGCCCAGCTGTATAAATGGGTACACATTTAAATTGCTCTGGATAAGAGTGTCAGCCAAATAAATTAATCTACAGTAACTTTCAAACATACAGACTCAAGCCCTGTACTAAACTCATAGCTAGGGGACCAAATTACCACTGTCAAAATAACATATCTTTCAAAGATTTCCTCTGTCAACTAATCAGTTAAGAATAGCATACCAACTCTTATTTTGGATGGGTCTTAAAAAAAACATGGCAAATTACAGCACCTTTCACTACCAAAAGGACTTGCATGATGTCTTCAGTATGGGAAGTCCCAGAATGCAGTGAATGGGACATTGCTCAGATCAGAAGTACAGAGAAATCAGTACAGTTGTAGAAACTTCTACAACGACACCCTCAAAACCATTGTAGAACTAGAAACGGAGAGCAAAAAGCCATGTCCTTAATATGCGATGTTATGAACTTAAACATGAGTGTTTGTTTACATTTAGAAGCAGAGATTGAATTGGGAGAGTGATTTTTTTTTAATTTAAGAGCAGGTTTTGGTGTGTAATTCAACAGACCATTTGATTTAAAAGCAGAAAATTAGTTTTTATTTTTTTAATTATATAATCTATATTTTGAGCCAGTCATTGGACCTTTTTTTTTTGCAGGGTAAACAAATATCCTCAGCCTTGCAGAGGAAGCATACAGGAGCCCCACTCAACCCCTCTCCATCCCCATTCCCACGATCAGTCAGCCCTTTCTATTCTCAGCTCCAGGGCCCTGTCAATGAAAACACGAGTGACCTTTCACTCAGCCATTTCCTCAGTGAATGAAGTTTGCAAACTCTGGGGAAGACACTTCGACATTCCCTCGCCCTCCTTCAATCAGGCCTTTCTCAAATCACACGGCAACTCGCCCCACACAAACCATGACCCTGACAGAAAAATAAACACAAACACAGCGTCATTCCCTCGAAAGTAGCCTGTTTTTTCCCTGAAAGGGACATCACACTGCAGATAGAACTTGTGAGGTTCCAGCCACAAAACTCAAATGAGTCATTTAAATCTCTAGGGAAGGTTTTTAAACACAATGTGTACCCACTAGTTTAAAAACATAAATGTGAAGTATATACATTGACTAAAAACTGCTACTAATGCCAATCTTTTTTATATCTATTCCAAACTGTTTGCAAATCCAACAACTTCAAATGCTAAGTGGGGAAAAATGATTGCCTCTGCAGCAGTTGATTTGACATAACCTCCCCCCCCCCCACCCCCAAAATGAAAACACAGAAGTTTAAGATTGTAACTGCAAGGCACACAACAGTGTCATCACTACACATACTCTCCTCAAAGCATCTCATCCAGACCAGGCAGGGATGTTCAAGAACATGCCCCTGGTCCACAGGCTTGTGTTTGCTGCTCTCCTGAAAAACACACTTACTGAATTGCGATGGCACACATGTATGACTCATGACTTACCCAATACTGTATAAACTTAACTACAGTACAATTCTGTCTATCGATCCCAAGACTTACAGAGGAGGGAATCATGTGATCCACTCATGGTTGAGAGATGTCATGTGAAAAGCCCATCTCACGATGTCTGTTTTATGGTGTGGCCACTTCCTGTTTACAGCAGGCACGGTGGGTTAATTATCCTCTGTTTCATATCTTCCCAGGCTACTGTGTGTTGAGCCACTCCCTGACATCTTCCTACTACTTATTTACACTTTCTACCAGTGAAGAACGATCTTGTTTTGAATTAACTGCACGTTCAGGAACCCGACAGCTTCCTTTTGGCCTGCGACCATGTCTGTGTGCTGCAGCAGGGGTTAAGCCTCGCAATGTCATTCCCAGTCTTTCCGGATACATGCTGTAAATACAATCCCAGGGTTCTGAAATGCAGGAAAGCAAAGAAATCCTGGGAAATCATACTAGAACTAGGAATAAATATTGAAATTCCCAATCAGAAGGTGGACTGTAACGTAAAGACAGTCACTTGACTTTATAATTCAGTATGTCCTGGGGAATATTACTGGGATAAATTCAAGTATAGTATATAAAATTGGTAGTTGCCTAAAAATGAACCCTTGTAGCCCAGAAAACAAAGTTATACTATATAACGAACAATGACTTAGGATGCTCTACAAGTAAGACAGCTCATGCATAAATGATCATGCTGTATCAAAGGCAAGATATGAAGCCAGTGCTCGAGGCAAACCTCTTCACCTCTTCTTTCTTAGCTAAAGAAAGAATCTCTAACATCAGTGGCATTAAGAACACAAAATGCTTTAAGTTGCACAGAGACCTTAAATCTTTTAATATTGGAACACAAGAAAAATACAAAACCTATATAAAAATAACTGTAAATGTCATGTTTCCTCCAGTCTTTTGAAACACGGTATTTTTTTAATCTGATGTATCTGCTTGAATGGGACTGAGAAATTGCACACCCAAAAGCATTAAGTGAAAATGCATAACACTGCCAACTGCACAATAGCTGGAGTGCTGTCCTACAAACAGGAGAGGAGAGTGTCTTCAGGTGAAGAAGCTGCTGTGATGACCTTTTAGCTCCTCACTGTGTTATTTTGATCTCCATCACACATTCTGGGTGCGATCCTATTGGTGACGTAGATTAGCTATGTGCTACTCAGCTGGAGGAGCTGGGATACAAAACGTCACACAGTCTGTCCCCACGGCCATGAAAACCTTTTCAAAAAAGGCTACACTCGCTGAGTAAATAAATAGACCCAGGACATATGGGGTCATCAGATGTGTATTTTGTAGATGTAAATGTAGATTTACTGTAGGCAGAGTTATATTATAGCATATGAGTTCCGGTGCAGAAAAGGAATTTTGATAGTGCAAACTCTTTGTGTTCACAACACAGTTCCCTCCACAAACGTAGCGTAGGAAAACAAAACACTGCTCCGATTCCCACTTCACTGATCTTGCCAATAAAGTTTCTATCTTTTTTTCCTTAAATACAAGTTGTGATCCCTACACCAGGCCCACAATCCCTTTTTCTCCGCAGTATTGGACAAGGCCTACCCCTGCTACTGCCCCTGTTGCCTGGCCCCCTAGCTAAGCTGTGAATTAGCACGCGCTTGGCCCCAGCTGTTAGGTGCAGAGCAGCCTGCTTCCCTTGTTTAGGTGCCAGCTGTGGGAGGGCAGCCGCAGTGTACGTCTCCTCTGGAAGATCACTGCAGAGAAGATACAGTCCATCATTTTTCTTTTTTTTATACTTCCCGTCTGCTAATTGGAGGCTGTCTCGTGAAAAGCCTCCTACATCACAATTACTTTTCAAGATGAACAGTCTATCCTTGCTGAACGTGAGCTGCCCCACGGCATGTGGGAGAAATCCAGGTTTTGTAATAAAGTCCAGTTTAAATACCGGCAAAATACTGTAATTGGAAAACAAAAGGAAACAGAGAAATTCACATGCAAGTGGTGTGAAATATTCAAGCCTTTAGCTCTGAATAATTTCAGTTCAGTTACAAGTCTTTTTTTTTTCCAGCTATGGTATTGTGAATGAAATTACAATTTAAATCTAATGTGTGAAGTGTTACAATTATAACTACTTGTCATCGAGTGTAACTGCAATTATCACATCCCAGAAGAAACAAAGAAAGAAAAGCGATACGAATCTGAAAGAACAGATTAATTCAAAGCTTTAAGTACTGATAACAATATCTGTAATAACAAAAGAAATAGAAATTAATATTTTAACATCTCCCTCACGTTGTTCATCTTCACATTTATATCTCCATTCCTCTCTCATTTTTGTCCTTTTTGTGCTCATCTTCCCTCATACAATGGATACAGTCTAAAAATAAAACTTTGTTTCCTAGTTGTCTAAAAACTCAGGTCCTTTTTTCCCTTTGCTTTTTTAACATTTAGAGCTTGCCTGATGTACAGGAAATCCTCAATGGATCTTATGGGAAAAACAGAAGATTCTTACATAAGCCATTCTGAAATACCCAATTCTCTGCAGCTCTGAAGATGTGATTTCTTGCTGCCTGGGAGACTGTTAGGTTAGTCAGCTGTCCCTCCCACATGGAAGATGGAAGATGAACCGCAATTCCCTTCGGCCATCAAGACAGAATCTAATCTACTCCCTTGGGATCCTGGAAGTGACCCTGCAACGTCCTGAAAGGAGATCCTCATCTCCTCTTATCCCAGTCTTGTGCACCTCATCAAGCACATCTACAAACAAAGCCATACCCTAAAGAAGGGCATCAATTATTTGCAGAGTCTTCAGCAAAAACTCCAGAGCTATACCCTAACTTCGTGCTACAGTGCCTGGGAATGGATCTCTACACAAGATGAAATCGCTTCCTTCTTAATCAACCCAAAACCAAACAATTTCCATCTAACTGTTACACCTTCCCTGCTCTTCCTCCACAATTAATCCCAAGGCAAAACGTCTCTCAGTAGAATACAATCAATTTCCTGTCCCATTACTCATCAGAGCAGGCACTTGACTGACACCTGACTGCTTACTGGCGTGCTGTGGGATGCACTCGTTTCTAAACCTCAGATCTCTTTGATTTAACAGCAGGCCAATAAAAAGTCATCCACGTCATCCCCACCAAAGGGTGTCTGATGATACTTTTACAGCACAGAGTAATGCTTCCCTTTTGGGCAACATTTCATCTAGTTGTATTAGCCTTTGCGGAAGACTAGGCTAAATATTAAAGCATCTTTTTCTCTGAACTAGTGTATTTTAAATGTTATTTTTAAAATGATTTTTGAACACTTTTAGTTTTTCAAAGACTATAGGAGCTACTGAAAAAGTGCAAGTTTCACAGCATGTACTTTATTACGAATCATCCAACCATGCCTCCATACATGTCCAGAGAGTGAAGTTCGGGGCTTTCGAATTGAAGACTAAACTGCAGCACTACAGCAAAACAGGCTGTAGTGCTGTAGAGGGTGTGTTAGAGCAACTTTGCAGCACAGTAGCATTTTTAACTGTTCGGTTTAACTCTGAGCTACAGTATATCTCAGCACCTGCAATCTCTTCAACAAGATTATCTCCATTCCCCACCGTCTGCTAGCAAGATCTTAATCTACTCAGAATACCCTTAAGACATACAGTAGTCTTCTTGTAAATATCAGCACTGTTCGATGCCGTTTCCCATTATTAGGCTTTATCCTACTGAACCCTGTCCATACCATGATAAAGCATCACCTCCGGTACCGTTTCCTGGATGTCAATTTCTCTGTGCTTGTTCGGCGTTCTTTCAATAACTCTCAGTGCAAAATAACGAGACAGTTGACGTGGTAAATCTTATCAGATGGGCTGTTTTTCTCATGTGGGAGTTACTTTAAAGAGCAGTAACAGGCACAGACCTAAAACAGGTAAGTGCTGCACATTGGTGTTGGAGAGGAGTCTCAATTACCTGGACAGTGCTTTGACTGGACTGTCCAGAAAAGCACAATATACAGTAAGTGTTATTGTTATTATTATAAACAATACAAATACTTTTTTATGCAGCACACCCTTGAATCTGTTTATTTTCTTATTCAGCTTTCAAGAACTTCAAAGCATAAGATCTGACAGCACAGCAAAAGGGTTTTTGACTACTACTCTTTTGAAAAGCAAAGTCTTGTTTTCAGATTTGGTCATATCCGTTAATTAGAATGCACATAAACTGTTATAGCTGAGTAACATTATTTCTGTGAAATTATTAAATCTTTCCAACACCTTAAGTTTGTATTAAATTCCAGTCAGGTACATTAAAAAAAATGCTCACAGAAAGATCTACCTGCAGCACCTGTGGGAATTTTCCTCAAAGCTGAGTCAAGATTCTTACAGGTGTTTGACACCAAGAGAAAAATACCTATCATTTACAATGCTGTAAATATTTTCTTATACAGCACAAATTAAATGCTACAGACTCATTTAGATAACATCTCAAATACAGTATTCCTGCTTACATTTACTAAAAGGATCTTCTTCAACACAAAATGACTATTTCTGTGTACTTGTCCATGAAATAAACAGATGCAGTTATTTCAAATTAAAAAAAGATGTATAGACCTATCTTTTTTGTTAATGAATAATGAACTCTTTTTTTTTTACCGGCTCTTTTTCCTAGTTTCAAAAGACACTCCCTATCCACTGGCCCTGAAGATTCGCAGTGGAATGCACAATTTTTAGCTTTTCATAATCACAGTCATTTTTTTTTCTCAAACAAGGAACCACCCATCCCAGATTGCATGCAATCCATGGCTATTTTTGCTTGCAAAGATTTAGTACAGTGTACTGTGCATTTCCAGTGTAATTATATTTCAAGTTTTGATTTGTACAGTAAGTTTCCTTGTTTAACCCCAAGCCCTCAGTATTTAAGGCTTTCACTTTCAATGAAAATAGGCCTGGTTCACCATAGCAGACAAAAAATCAAATTTGCAATCAAATCCCAAGGTCTCAGGGCACGACAGCTAAAACTGAGAAATGAAACTTGCACTTACAGAAAATCAAAAACTTTCTTAGATAAGTCCGAATTTGGTGGTTCATTTACTTGGAGGCTCTTAAAGGAAAAACAATATTTATCAACAATACTCCTTCAGGCACAAAGTCTCAGATAGCAAAGATAAAATTAACATTCTAAAGTGTCTGAATTAAAAATGACAAGCCTCGGGCACTAAATAAACTCAGCCAATCGTTTTCAGGGGAGCAAACAAACCTGTTCTGAGCACCGTTATTGAGTGCTCTTTAAAGTCTTTTATTACCAGTACTCCCCAAACCATGATTATGAACAAACTGTATATACGTTTCAGACGGGCGATGTCTGCCTACAGGACAATCCCACAGCCAGCGCACAGAGAAGCACGGTTTTAAATTCAGCACTGAGAACGTGCTCAAGAAGCTATCTTGAGCACTTTTAAAAAAGACCCACCCCAGGACAGGACCTCTTTAAAAATCAAACTTCCTACTGCTCAAAGATGTTCCATAAATATTTAAATTGAACAAGTGGAAAATGCACCAGAAGCACAAGCCCTGCTTGACTTTCCTAAAAATAGAGCTGTGCGCGGAAGTGTGGTGGCAGAGCACAGAGAGCCGCGATGCTGTGGGCGATCCGTGCCACAGGAAGGGAACTGGAGTGAGCGCCAACCCCGCTCTCTCACAGCCAAAATGCCGCGTTTATGAGATGAAGTAAATCCTTTTTTAAAACCCCACAAGGCACAATTTCCTTTTTCTATCTCCACTGACAAAGAAATGAGACACAGCCTCTTTTCAGCTCATTCTGAAGACCCCTTTCGCTTCAGAACAGTACATCAAATCAGCTGGCTTGGGCTAGGGCCAGGAAACGGAAACAAAGGATTGATTTAGACCAACGCTGTCATTCTGTCCAGCTATGGTAACTTAGAGATGGGGACAGTTTTGCTTGCCTATGAATGAAGCAAGAGTGCACAGAGTCAACATGGAAATCTGCAAATCTGACAATCTACAGACATTAGACATAGTGGAGTCATTCCCCGTTTTTAAATTCGTCTCTTTATTGACTCCCTGGAAGTAGAGTAGATGACAGTAGGGCTCTGGATTAGCTCAAAAAGATGGTGCTGTCATAAATCTCAGAAAGAATAATAGCAGTGCAGAGATGGATTGAAATCAGATTGGGTGGAGTGCAAAAGGTCGGGCCAAGGAGATAAAGAGAGTTATGCTTGGGCATAGTCACTGCTTGTGACCAGTTGGCAAACTCTGCTTACCTCATCTGATTCATCAGAGAGAGTCTTGAGCAGCATGGGGAAGAGGCTGTCAGTGTGGCGGAACATCTGCAAAGGGGAAAAAAGAGGAAGAGTTTAAAATCATCAAGTAGCGTAGCTTATCATTTGAACCGTGCGAGCGTGAAAGAGCTATCGTTTAGGAGGATTAGCTATCATTTAGGTGGATTTGCTGGTCTACAGAGATCTGGATGGAGTACTGGCACGCAGAAGGACATGATGGAAGACCTAATACTCCACATTTAGTACTTTTTTAGAATTGTAAAAGCTTAGCGTGCCCAGAGGGGTTGGGCAGCCAGTTGACCTTGGACCCCTAGAGGTTTGTTTTCTCCTTAGAGAGCAGTTTTTGGCTCCTCTCCTCTGTTTTCTTCTGGCTTTTTCGCTTTCTCTTTCTGTATTGTAACGTCATGTATTGTCACACAGCTTTGTCAAGTGCCTTGGGGCAACCTTGTTGTCAAAGGCGCTATATAAAAATAAACTGAATTGAATTGAAAGACTGACGTACTGGTTACAGTGGTACGTCTGCAGTGCGGATAACACAAATATCCAAAACCAGTGATGCACTCCAAATAAAATGCTGAGAAAAACCACGTAACAATAAAAGCATCCATTGTCTATGCATTGTCTATATCAAGCATTGAATACAGAAAGAATTTGCCAAAAACAACCAAAGTCTTTCAGAGAACAGTGCAAGATGGAATTTGAAAGTCACATCCCAGAATGTCAAACGGCCATGAACCAACTTCTTGCCAAATAACAACCAGAAACCAAAAAAAAAACAGATTAAAGAAATTTAAGAAAACGGTCAGAAATACAAGAAATAAAAACATAAAGCAGATATAATTTATCACACATACTGTAAGAATATATATGATAAATATCTAAGGAATAGAAAAAAGCAGAAATGGAGTATAAGGAGGCAGTCCGTGCAGCACTCACCTTACGCGGGGTCTTGATGTACAGGTGGTAGAGCCATTTGAGCACCGCGATGCGGGTCATCATGCCAGTCGAGGACTCGTGGAGGTGCCTGTCCAGGACCTGCACTATACCATCCAGGTCCATGGTCACCTGGGGCCGGTCATTACTGGCATACACAACGGGTAAGATATTCAGCCGCGATCTGTGCAGGCTATCCTACAACAGCACAAGGTCTTTCTCCGCACAACAACCTGCTTTTAACACTGGCATTGTGACCTATTTTGGAATCAGCCGGTGAACAAAAGTGATTTTTAACCCTATTCAACTTGAAAAGGGGTAACAGGGGGATGTTTCTGACTACTGATTAGCATTCTTCTTATCCACAACCCATTTTTAAATGTTGTGGCATTATTCTGAATGTTAGAATTAGGTATTATGCTGTTGCCTTATATTAATATTATATTAATGAAACAAGACAGCAAGCACTATCTTAAATTATTCTAGCAACAATGCAACACAGAAACGGACAGTATATCCAATATGTACATTTTTGTCTTGTAAAATGGGTAAATCAATAATTCAGTATTTCCAGTACTCATATCTGGAAATGAATTCTTTTGCATAATAATCCCATACTACAGCAGGGAGATCACGCTAATTGTAAGGAATGTGGGTAGCAATTACCACAAATAAAGGAAAATCTGACTCATTACAAGTGAATACACTGAATTAAAGCAACTCATACAGCAAAACAGCCTAAGGAATGTGTAAGCATGCCTTCATTTACTAAACCCTAGTCATTAAGAAACAGACTCCTTACATTTCTCTGAAACCCAATATACTGTGGTGTAAGTTTAATTCATTTCCAATTAATTCCAGAGCACTCACAAACTATTTTGGATGTTTTTGTTGTTTGAGGGTGGTTGGTACATAAATTGATAGGGATACAGTACATGCAAAGTAGAAATAGTTATACATTAAAAAGCATGGAGGCATGACCCATTCTTAGTGGATTTGTCTTTGTTCCTGGAGGCCAATGATTTTATGAAAGTCAGGTGCAGCAGTAGAGCGATCTGACAAAGATACAACATCTCATAAGACGCCGCATCTTGCTGAGCAGTGTGGAGAGGATCCTCGCGTGCACCTACTGCCCCCCTGTGGGAGGACCAGCAACAGCTAAGAGACAGACTGCCAGGAGCGACACAGGACACAGGCGAGGGCTGGAGTGTCCTGTACCACTGTCTCAGCGTCGCTCAGTGATGCACTGAAGGAGCTAAGAAGCACAGTTGGAGCTTCCAAGTCCACAGGCAAAGGTTGTGGCAGCTGAGTTGCATGTCATGTGCTTAAAGAACAGATAATACCCTGAAGCATCAACAATGAACACACGACTATATGCCTTCTTCTCAGCAAAAGAAATTCCCTCCCAAGGCCACATACGCGGGAAAACTAAATATTAGGAATAACTGTTTTTTTTTTTTTTGGTTCCTTTTGGGTTAAAAAAATTTTTTTGTTGGTTGGATTTTACTTGCGGTTTTTCCACCGGTTGTTCTGGGTTGGCTTGTTGAAGGAAGTGAATTGCTGCAGTTGTTTTGCACTGCTTGGAGACTGCTGTCACTGCTGTAGCATGAACATTTCCAGTTTGATGCAATATGTGGATGTATTTGCACACTTAAAATGAACTTTTTTTTACAATCATGCAAATTTTAAGCACTGCTACAAATATAAAAAACAGAATTGAAGAATTTACATTTTGATGTGCTTTCACATTTTAAACGTTTAAGCATCTTGTGATAGCTTAGTAGCAAAAAATGCTAGTCCACTGAACACAGGCTGAAAATCGCCTAATGAAGCTTGTCTGCAGCTAAAACAGAATACGGTATTTTATTTAGAAATAAACACATTGTTCACAATATTCCAGACACTGCATTTGTTTTCACATTGCCTATGGTTGATTTATCTACCATTAACGGGCGCCTCTTTAGAACAACAGTACAAGTACAAAGTGATCCCACTGTTGCATTTTCCTGTTGAAGTATAGACGTTTTTAAAATTACAATGTCAATTTTCTCAAAATCTTTTACATTCTGCAACCATTTGTATGCATAGTAAAAAAAACCCCGGCTTTACATGGTTATTTTCTGACAAAATAATATTCTTTTTTCTTCTTTCATCATCCATACACAGCACAACCACCATAGAGTATGTCCATTTTTGCTATGCACATAATGGCATAATGGAGGAAAAGGATTTTCTTCTATTTAACTTGAGGTCTTCATTTAAAACATCCTCCACCTTGTGTATAAGGGTGAGTCAACTACTGTAGGTAGGGGCTACAATGCAGGGGTGGCTGAAGTGGGTCTGTTCCCAGGTGTGAAGCTCTTCTGGTTGAAAAGTGTTATACAAATGCTTAGAACTTGTATTTATTATACTTAGTCTTTGGTTAGTAACCAACTTTAAGAGCTGTTCTTTACAGTAAATCCATTGCTCAATCAAGAAGGCATCACCAAATACTATGAATGTTCCTGCAAGATGTTGAAGGTGTTACTTGTTTTATCCTGCATTCTAAAAAATTAAACATCAGAGGAATGAGCTTGTGATTAGGTGCTTTCAGGAAAGAAGTTAGTTTTCTTATTTTAATTAGTATAGCAATCCTAAATTGAAAATCCTTTGATCAACTGGCCCTCTTTTCTTTAAAAAGAAATACTACTGAGTACGAATTAAGAGTATACCACCTCAGGGACTAATAAAACCTTTGAGAAAAACTGAAACTCAGAGGAACACCAGAGGTATACAAAAAACTGCTGACAAGACTATTTTTATTCTTATAATTTGAAACATCTTTCAATTTACCAACTTACCAAAAAAACCTTGACAGCAGGTCAATCAGTAAAATGCCTTGCAATTAATGCTGTAGGTAGATAAACCCTGAATCGTGTCTTTTATTTTAAGAAAAAGACACAGTCCCATTACAAATTAATCATTACAATTTGAAGGACATACAGTGGCAAGAAATAAAAGCAGGACAGAGAAGTTAATGGGCAAAGGAAAGATGGAGCAATGTTGTTGGTGGGAGTGGGCATAGGAGAGCATTAGAATAATGTTTCTCTCCCAAATCCAGTGGAAACCAGTATGAAACCTGTATGAACCTGTATGAAACCAACCTGTATGAAACCAGGGAGAAGATACTGAGCCATGCAGCTCTTCTGTTAACACAGGACAAGACTAACCCCTGCACCCCCGAATTGCAGTCACTCGGAGCACACTCACAGCCCACTCTCTGCAGACCAGCTTTAAGGACGTGCATTGCTATGGCTGGCAAGAATGAAGGGTTGATATTGAAAATTAAAAATAAAATTTAGGCCTCAATTCTTCCTCTACAGTTATAAGACAGCCATCTGCTGTAAAGCCAAAGAGGAAATAATCAGAAGGGAAAAACCTGGAAATACAGTCAGTCTTCCCATTTTCATTCAATTTGTAGACAGCTTTACCCTGCAGCACCTTCCTACAGCCAGATGAGGGAGCACAGTTTCCACTTAGAGCAAGGCTGAAGAAACCATGAGGTGTCATAGTCATGTTAAATATATTCTGTTCAGAGCTGGGTTCGTTGTAATTTAATGAGAAATGGAGTCTGACAAATTTAGCCAAGTTGGAATTAGTGTCTATTTCAGAAATTTCACAGGTACACTGACAAAGATTCTTGTTTCACCTTATCAAAAAGCAGTGGCAAAAACACATGATGTAAATGCTGTTTTGAAATACAAAATGAACCCTCAGTCACTATGGAGTAATTTCCATTATATTCTGTGCCCGCCCCCTGGTAAGAAATGGTAAATCCTAAACAACGCTTTTAAATTTTATTTCAATTAAAGTTTTAAAGTTTTTAATTAAAACAAATGTGGAAATGTACTTACTTTGTAGAAGCAAAGAAGCTGATAGTGCTGAAGCCCACAGAGTCTTGTGAAGCATTAAGTGAATCTGCAAAACAAAGAAAGTTCTGAAGGCTCACCTTTGTCATACAATCCCTCATTGCTACAGTTTGTGAAAGCCAGTCGCCTTAAGGGCACCAGACCCCTCAGTGTAATCTCCTCGGCACACCATAAAAAAGACTTTGTTATGCTTATGAAGGAAGAGGGGACAGCACTTACTGTTGCACTGCAGGATCTCCTGTCACAGCTTGAGGAACAGAGAACAAGCCTCTCGAATAATAATGCTACATGCTGGAAATGTTTAAGTCTAAAAATGTTTTTGTTGTAAATACTGTAAATGTTTTTCTAATTGTTAAATCTGTGACAGCACTGTTATTCACTTTATGTTATGATATGGTGGTGCTGCTCTCTCTGCTTACACAGGCTGCTGTTTAAAGATATCCTATCAGCTCAGCATTGGTGGTTCAGTGGTAGAATTCTCGCCTGCCACGCGGGAGGCCCGGGTTCGATTCCCGGCCAATGCAAAACAATTTTTTTTCCACAACAAACATACGGAACATCAACTTATGACCTATGCAAGACAAACACATACATGTCTGGCTGCACACTGCACAAAAAGTGATGAGAAATCCACGAGACAAATATTCTTTGGAAGTACGGAAAGAAAACTTGTGATATCATTAAATAAAACAACATTCAACCCAGTTACCTTCATAGCTGCTAAGCTGTTAAGTGTCAGGTAAGGGTCCTGTGGTGAGGGCACACGATCTCTTTTCTTATCTTTTGGAAAGCAATATCTTGCACCCCTGGCTGGCTGGCAGCCTACAGCCATTTTACTGGATTCAGTTCTCTTGTGCGGCTTCCCCCATTCCCAGCCCCCCTCCTCCCCTGGTGATGTGGCATTCCTGCTCTTCGTCCCACAAAGCAGGAGTGCAACAGGCAGACGTACACATCTGCATTGGTGGTTCAGTGGTAGAATTCTCGCCTGCCACGCGGGAGGCCCGGGTTCGATTCCCGGCCAATGCACTAGCAATACTTTTTAAAAAGTTTTTTCCCCCCACCTTTTCCATTTACAGATCAGCTCCAGATCTTGGCATGTGGAAAATGCAACACTTATTACAATTACAGATCTCATCCGATTCTGAACTGTTTTTGCATTATATATTACTGCACATCTGATAAATAAAATATCAAGTTTAAAAAAAACATTTGTAAAAGTATTCTCTACAGGTCTATACCACAAAACACGAGGATAAACTACACTGAGAGCTCTAATCAGAAAGCAGTATAACTTTGTGAAAATAAATGCTAGATTTTATATTTATAAAAACTATTTAATTTTGCAGTGACAGCTACTAATAGTGTCATTTTAACAAGGCAACTAGTACATAAATGTCTCATTAATGGTCTACTGCATTACAATGCTTTTCCATGTAGTTGTTTCACCTCTATTACAGTACTTGATACATATTAAAAACAGCAGAAAAGGTTCAAGTCTGAGCTCAGGACAAATCTCATCCTGTATTTTGGAAAGTAAAGCACAAGGTTAAATTAAGGAGAACGTCAACCTAACGCAATTCTTGATTAGGCTATAAGGAGAATGCTTGTTTTTAAGATTTTGTATACAGTAGGAATGTGTGCTTTGTGCAAGAAAAACACAAAATAAATTAAAGAAAGAAACATGACTATACATGAAAACGTCATAAAATCATTTGTGGAACAGAAAGAAAAAAATAACTACACTTGCATTGGCCGGGAATCGAACCCGGGCCCCCCGCGTGGCAGGCGAGAATTCTACCACTGAACCACCAATGCTGAGGCGAAGAACTCTTTTGCAGAGCCACAGTTACTAGTTCACCACAGACGTAATGTAAGACACACCAGGTAGCCAACAGCCAGAAGAGTCAGCATGCATGCCAGTAGGAGGGGGAAGACCACTGTCAGCTCACATCAGAGGAACAGATTCAATGGCAAACTAACAAGGGGAAAAGCGACCCCTGGACTTGCAAAAAAAACAAGAAAATACTATGCATTCCTGTCCTAGTAAGTGAAACTTTCTAGATTTTTCAAACAGAATTTGAGCAAGATCCTCTACACTTGGATTATTAATCTATTCCTTTAAAAAAACAGTCCGAAACCACGTTCCATTGTATAAGAAAAAGGGTGTCACCCTTATTTTGCCAGTGCTACATTTGATTTCTAGAATTAAAAGGTTCATCTAAACCAATGTTGCTTTAATTTCTGTTATTACAAAAAGCAAACAGTTCCAAGCCCAAAAAAATATTTGTTAAACTTTCTTTCCGTAGGACTGGATACCGAGTTAACCCAGTCTGAACAGACCTACTTAATCTTTCTGATACAAAGATCACCTTGAAAAGGTATTGAATAAAATAAAACCTGACTGAATGATGATATAATGAACATTAGATTGGCAGTGCTAGTTCAAACATCTACTGATCTTTTAAAAAAAATAAGTAATAATAAATAGTGATCTATTGAAATAATACACTTGCCCACAACACAGAACATAAAGCATCTAAACAGAACAAAACAGCCAAACGTATAAAACATGCCAAAGTATGGGAAACAAAGGAGGCTAGCAGTTGCATTCTCACTCACACACTTTTTTTAGACTTAGGATGGTTCAATTTAACAGTTCTGAATACCTGTGTAGGGTGATCCTTTGCACCAGCAGAGTATTGTATTGATGAATTAGGAAAAAAAGTGTATGTAAAGAATTACAGAAATGAGGAACTCAGCATTCTGTTAGAATCAACATCGGTAATAAAGAGTTTTCTCCTGCCCTTCCTGCATCATCTGTTTAGTTTTAAATTGAAAAAAGGGAAGTCTTGCATTGGCTGGGAATCGAACCCGGGCCTCCCGCGTGGCAGGCGAGAATTCTACCACTGAACCACCAATGCTGAGCTGACAGGGTGATTCCAAACTGCAGCCTAGAGGTGAAGGGAGAACATGAATGCCACATCAACAAGAGAGGGAGGGACTGACACTGAGTATGCATGAGCTTCCACTAAAGGAAACAGGCAAGACTGTTTGTTACATTCCAAAAGACATAAGGCAGTCTCACCAGTCCTGAACTGGGATGTATTGGGATGGTTTGAAGGAGGCTAAACTAGGTGCATAGAAAAGAATAGGTTAACAAAAGGGTTTAAAAATTGGCCTTCATAATTTCTTAATTTAAAATTCTTCATACTTTATTATGGGTGTTTTTTTCCATCCACTTCTTCCTGTTAAGAATCATGACACCATACAGTTAGTTATTCCCATATCAAATAAATGAAAAACTCTGCATGTTTACATTTGGTACTAATTTAGCATTAATTGGGTTTTTGTTCACATTTGTCAAAAAAGGAACAGGGTTTGTTCAGGAGCAAGCCAAAGTTCGTTATTTTGCTTTATTCTAATTGCATTAAACATATTAATCTCACAATCCCCAGGCATCTCACAGTTTCCAGGTGCAGGGAGCAGAAGTGTGAGACTCTGAAATTTTACAGGTTCATTTTTGGGAAAACAAAGCAATTGCATTGGCCAGGAATCGAACCTGGGCCTCGTGCGCGGCAGCACCCACGCGGAGCTGCGGAGCTCCTCCTCTGAGCTGCAATTCCTAGATCCACACAGCAAACGGCTGAAGACACGACCATCTCGAGAGCAGAATACCAAGTTGCCAGCAGGCAGGAGGGAAAGCAAGTGAACTGTGTGATGTGAGTATGTGGAAGGAGCAGGGGACACCCACCTCTAACTGCATAGGAACTGAGCCTCTTTGAAAACCAGCCTCCCCAGCTCAGCATTGGTGGTTCAGTGGTAGAATTCTCGCCTGCCACGCGGGAGGCCCGGGTTCGATTCCCGGCCAATGCAAACAAAACATTTTTCCCCCTTTTCTTTTTGTACTACACATCTGCTTTTTCAACTTCCACTTTTCTTCCAGCTGCTGAACTTTTTCCCTAACTGAGGCTTTCTTTTAATAATTTAAAAAAAAACATCATTGGATAAACAACTTATCTGCAACAAAAATTAAATTCAGCTTTTGCCTCACCACCTTGGGGAAATGTAAAGTCTACAACGAAACAAAACGAAAGATATTTTTTTTTCTAACACACCAAAAAGCATTTCTGAGCTCTTCCCTGGTTTGGAATCACACTCTTCCATTCCCGGCCCCTCCCCTGCTGATGTGGCAGTTCTGCTCTCCCTCTCTCTAAGAAGCAGTGCAAGAGTCCTGCACTCACTTCAGCATTGGTGGTTCAGTGGTAGAATTCTCGCCTGCCACGCGGGAGGCCCGGGTTCGATTCCCGGCCAATGCAGAAAGAAACTCTTTTTTTTTATGTCAATTTATTTTAAATTGCCTATAGCTGATACCACAGAACAGTTGTACTGTTATCTATGGTAGAGTATATGCTAGATGCAATAGCAAACTCTTAAAAGCAAACCAGATTAAGAAAAGCGTAGAGCAGGGAGTTGCATGTTGGCAAGAGAGGCAAAGAAACAAGTTAAAGGTAGATTCCTATTTAAGAAAGAAAGTAAATCGCTTTGGCTGTGGAGCCTTATTTAGGTGCAAACCTGAAAACTGACAATTTGCTTCTAAAAATAACATGCCAATCTGGAACAGTACAATTAATGGAGCAGCTAGTTTTGTGATCACTCATAACTCTCTACATCACAGAACATAGAACTCCCTACAACATGGCAACCACACAGTACTTTCAAAACGTTCACGATTTTGTTCTTAATCTAAAATGTGTAAAATTTTGCGACACTGTCAATTAATTTATTTTGTAACCGAGATTTAATAAATGGTCTGAAAATTGGGAGTGCAGCTCCCCTTTAATTCAACAGAGGTAATTTCTCAGCTCTCCACTGGATCTGCTGTGCCGAGGGGCTGCCACACACTACACAGGTGCGTCCCGCACTCCAGTGGGTGGATGAAGTGGGTCCTCTCATATTTGTAATTCACTCACAGGTCCTTTGCACAAACACCAGCTGTTATTAAAAGAATTAGCAGCAAATAAGTACCGAACCTTGTCTTCAAAGCTTGAATGTGCACAAGCCGCCAAATAGTTTGACCAGGTAACTGTCCAACCTCAAAAAGCGAGCACTCACTGTCCAGGCTGTCCTGCACCTTGGGCAGAGAGTCCTCCTGCAGCTGGCTGTCACCTGGCTGGACCACCTCCTCCTCGTCATCATCTTCTGGAGTCACCAGCTTCATCAGGCTCTGGTTGCAGGCGCTGGCAGCCTCTTTGGTGCCTGGTGTGTTAAGAGTTAAGGGGCAAGGCCAAGTCTAGGATGGGCTCCTGCTCAATTCCTATTTAACACCTTCTTAAACAAAGCAGCGGAGCACTCAAACCACACATCTCAAGTCACACACCTTCAGATTCCAAGGTCTTTCCTTCACACTTAACCACAGTCCTTTGTCACAACATTTAAAACAAAAACAAAATATATACAGTTTAAATGAATCTGAACGCATCTACCACAAGGACAGTAGTTTTGATTTCCACATGTGGTAGGCTGCATGCATGTGTCCGCTGTCATTTTGAAGGCAGTAATAAGAAAAAAGACAAGTGACAAGTGATATTCTTTTAGGTAACTCTGTGTTGCCGTGATTGAGTTGTCTCAAGTGTTGACATATCTCTCAGTAGTACCACTTTGCTTTCCACCTCTCCATTTATATTGTTGAAAAAAAGGGTTTTGAAGTTCACCAGCTTTATTGCTTGGACATTTTGCACTTGATTCAGTTTCTCAGTTAAAAACTAACAACTTTGCTTATTAGAGAATAAAGCAAGCTGCTTTTCTTTTTTGCAAAATTGATATCTAGTGAGGATGCAATTAATACTAATTGCACATGTAAGTGAGGTATGTCAGATTAACTCTAAAACTGTGGGGGACACCTCATCAATCTCCCACCTTCAACACAGAAAGGGAATTGTCTGCCTTTCTCTATGCTAGCCCTACTGTTCAAACAATAAAGACCCCATTCTGCCTATCACACCCATATAATGAAACCACCAATTAACAGAGATAAGACCCATTAGCACACTGTAGTACTAGATTTTGGTAAATGTGAGAATCAAAATGATCAACTAATCAAGCAAACTAACAGATCACTTTATTGGCCATATACAATTTCTTGCATTAGGAATTTCTATTTTTGCATACCCCAGCTTGCTCTCCATGAGACACACATACAGGGAGAGAAGCTAGGGGACAGAGCACAGGGTCAGCCATATACGGCGCCCGTGGAGCAGCTGGGCTTAAGGGCCTTGCTCAGAATTTCTCTGCCGGCCGCGGGATACGAACCAGCAACCTTCCAGCCACATGCGCAGATCCTTACCCACAGAGCCACCACACCGCCTGTGAAGCTGTCTTTGCCACTGATAAGAAGGTCCAGGACCTTTCCCTGAACTAATCCTTCTCATTAGACTCTCAGTTAAGATGCTCACAGGGACTCCTGGAGGATACTCTTCTTGCGGTCATCATAGGATAGACAGGGAAGCACAGCCGTCAGGATGCCAGAGGAGTAGGGCAGCACTACACGCCCGGCGAGCTGGATAAACTCACGCATCCATGTCATGGCCGTGAGCTGGATTAGATCATTCGCTTAAAAAAAAAACCAGGTATTATCACCAGAAACACAAGAGGCAATAGCTCGCTATCTCTGAAGGTGTATGTTCCCAAGTAAGTAAAAGAGGCAATTAGGACACATATGACTTTAGATATAAGGAATATGAAATAGTACAATTCTGAGAAAAGAGTGACAACACCTGCCTAAACATCAAACACCACGAGAGATTGCAAGCAATGTTTCTATCACCTTTCCAGTTGGAATATATTGCACAAAAGTAGGTGCTTTTTACCCTTGAAAACATTATAATTAATGTCTGGAAATCAAATTCTAAATTGTTTTTTTTTGTGCTTTCACCATTGATTGTGATGAATAACACTGCTAGTATCTGCAACCAGCTGATGACTTGCACAAGGGAAATGTCATGAGCTTAGAAATGGATGCCTTACTCAGTTTGGACTCATCTGACACCTGGCAGTGGATGACTAGGATGTTGGCCATATCAGCAAATTTGACACTGGATGGTGTTTTCTTGATCTCCTTGAGGAATTCCCCCAAAACCACCTCGCAACTGGAAAAAAGCAGACACACCCATTTTAATTTTCCATGAAGATGCAAAACAATGCAGAATAGAAACTGTTCAAAATAGAAAAAAAATGACTGGTTTTAAAAAAGGTACCTGTGATCCCTCTCGTAATACAGCAATATAGAAGGATAAGGGTAACTTCAGAAAGGCTCACACAAGCTGACTAAAAAGCTTTGCAAGCCTTATTCTGTAAGATAAGTAAATAATGTCTTGTTTTTACAAAAATAAATGCTTAGCTTAATCTAGGTATAAAATGGTCATTTTGGTACACAATACATTATACAATAATTTATTCTGGACACAGGTGGCCAAGCCAGAAAAAATTATTTCAACAACCTCTGATTATTTTGTGAACTACAGCTAGTAGGCAAAAAATGGAAACAGCAGATAAAGTCACTTAATTGACTTAATGAGGCATTGGACAACCAGTACGTCTGTATGTACTGTGGCACTGAATCTACCAGCTTTGGAAATTCTGCAGGAGGGATGGTGCACCATTCTTCCACAATAAAGTGAACTCAAGGCTAGTTGATAGAGGTGGATAAAGCCGTCTCAGGTGTTGTCCCAAAACACACTCATGATCTATAGATTGGTTCTTTAGCTTGATGCCACAGGTGTACTCAGATTGTCCTTTACCATGTTCTCAACAAATCATCTCAGCATACTGTATCACATTTCTCCACTGCTTGGTAGTCCACTGCCTGTGCTCTTTGCACCACTGGACTCACAAACAATGTTTTGCCCGATGCGGTGAAAGATTTGCAATCTAACTGTGGTATCTCCCTCTGCAGAGTTCTTTAGCAACTGTTTTTGATGAAAGATTTTGATCAGTTCTTGACTAAACTACTTTCTTCCCAGATTGAAATTTGTAGTCAATTGATCTGCAGTTGCTCCTCTGCCTTGAATATCATTAAAGCCCGCAATATTGGTTTCCACAGACTTTTGCCCTTTGCTAATGATCTTCAGGATCTTTCCAGTTCAGGATCTTTCCAAATGCACACCAATAATCCCCCCCTCTTTCAAAGTCATTGAGGTCCAACTCTTACACTTGTTAACCATAACTACAGGCAGACAGGCCTGTCCAGCATTTTCATACCTGACTCTGAGCATGCTGGAATGTTAGCTGCTTAATTAACACATAAGCCCTACCCATGTGGAAGCCCTTGTTTTCAATATACTTGGTTGTCCTCGCTTACCAAAGTGTTTAATTTTTTTTTCGCCCACTAACTGTAAAAAAACTATACCGTCCCTCTGAAACACCCAAAGGATCACTCACGTCCTGCGAATCTCCTTGCTGCTGTCCCCCAGGATTTGGAAGAGCCCATCCAAGATCTCAGGCAGGTAATCCAGCAGGTTGATGTCTGGAACCGACTCCAGAACAAGGATCTGGAGCAGGACATGGTCAGGATCAGGACCGATGCGCAGAAATGCCTTATAAACACTGAGAGACAGATGAGCAAACGAACCACAAACTATCACCCACACCACTTTAATTACAGAGACACCTTCTGAAACTGACGTGTCCTTTGCTTGAACAACACATAACCACAGTACTATAACTGAAGGAAACCTTTTGGTGAAAAGATTCAAGAATCATGCCTATGAAGTTGCAAGTATATCTGAATGAACTCACTCCTAGTGCACCAGCACTTCTTTCATGTCCTCATTGTTGAGAGCTGTGGATGCAGAACTCACCCAAGAGATTATGAACTGGCGGGCATACTGGTTGTTGGAATATATTCTCTCCCTCAGAAGAGGAACAAAGGCCACCAAGTCAAACTTGTTGCTCTCGGTCACAATGTCCTGAGGAACAAAAGAAACATTTCAAATCCTTCTGCAATGCCACAATGGTGCTCTTTCCCACACAAACATACAGAACAAAAAATATTAAGGTAAATTCACTATTTCGATAAATGTTGGGCATATGTTTTCTTTCAAGACAAGAGCAGCTGTAGAAACTATTTTCTGATACTATTTACATAAACCACTGCCCTCGGCACTGTTTCACTTCTCATTATCAATGGGGCTTGTTTTTTCATAGCTTCTGCACATTTTCAAATACAGATATTTGTTCCTTGCTATGTGTGACCTGATTAATTCCTTAATCAGTCAATCTGCACACCATTAAAAGAACAATATATAGTAATACTAAACCTGATAAAATGAATACTTTATGTTTTCATGGTTTGATAACTTGACATAATCATGTGAGATCCTGATTAAATTAAACGTGCTGTCACTCACCTTCAAAAGACGATCCAGGAGCTCTGAACCACTCTTCACATTAGGATCTGGATCTGCTGCTAGCTACATAATCAAATATTTTAAAAAAAATAATAGCTATGACTTGTTACCCTTTAATATCTAAATAATTAGGGATTTTAAGATCAGTGACAGTGACTAGGGGATAAAATAGTAGTACTGTACTTTTGATTTACAGAACAATATCACAATGATTTAATACATTAGCTACCAATAATCATTAGTTGGACTATTTAAGTAACAATTTTAAACAGTGATAAACATTTCTAGGAAAAACATTTACCCATCAGGACCACACAAGTTAAAACAAAATGAGATTACTATTAATTCGAAAGAACATTGAATGCATTTTCATAGTGCTACAAAGATACAAAGTGTATCTTTAGTAAAGCAAGTTCTACAACTATTGGCTAAATCTACAGAATAACCTTGAGGGGCTTTCATAACAGAGCTCTTGTGCAATTTCTGCTTCTTAATCATGATTGCAACTGGATGTTTTTATGAGAGAATACTCTAACACTGTCTTCTCGAACACACATATTTATAAAACCTATTGGTACAAACAGGCCTGCATACAGACATGCATTGTATGGTACTGTACTGAAATACATCTAGAGAGTGTTCCTCACTCTATAGTTATACTAAACACTGGTCTGAGTCCAGAAACCAGGTCATCAGGGCATCAGCACACATGCATTCCCATTAGACCACAAGAGCCAACTGGCTTGGCGAGGCTGTAAGCATGCAGTAGAAGCACTGGATCTCTTCTGATCACCTCCCAATTGTTTTGTGTGGTGCGGCAGTACCTTGCTGAGACCGTCGAACAGCACATTAAAGTGAGGCAGAACTGCTCCCCGCGCAACCTTCACAATGTTATAGAGGGCCTCGCAGGCGTAGTATCGCAGCCGGCTGTCAGAGTCATTGAAGCAGGTGAGGACAGGCTCGATCAGCTCCTTCAGATACAGCCCAGAGTCCTGCACGGGACAAACAAGCAGTCAATCCGAGAGCTCCGTCAACTACTACTTCTCACGGCTGTTTCTCTCCTGGTACACATTTGCCGTGCATGATTCATGAAGCCCACTGAGCTAGAGCTCAGCCTGAAAAAGCACCTCACTTTTTAAAAATCAATCATTAAAAATTAAAACAAGTGGAACTTAGCGATTGATCAGGATTGAGAAAAGGCTGGACACCATGCTAGAAGACATCGCAAGGAAACTCACTTTGTATTTTTGTCTTCTACTCTTTTTCTCTCCACTTCAAACAATTAAGAAATATATATATATAATTCTGGATACAAAGCAGGACAGACCAAATTCAACAAAAGTGCAACATACTCTTCAGAGTTACATTGTGATTTCCCAAAGAAAGCTCTTTGGCTATCAGTAAATATGGCTTAACACCTGGGAACTGCTCCAATAGTATGTACTGTATTAAAAAATCCTCATTATATTGAGGGAAAATTGAAAAACTGCAAACTCTTTCCCAGGCTAAAAACTGGAAACTGCAATGCCAGGAAACTGCAAATACTATCTGACAGTAGATGAAAACTTGGTAAACCGCTAGAAATTAACTTCTACCGTATGTGTGCAGCGGGTACCCCCATTAAAGACCTGTAGCTTAAGGCTTCAGAAAAGCCTACCTGTTTGGGAAGCAGTGCTTACCTTCCCCAGTGCAATCGAGCAGGCTGCCAGCCCGATGAGCCCACCTTTCCGGCTGTGAGGGTGCTGAGACAGGGCAAACTCTGCAGCCAAGATCTGGATGACATGCCTGATCTGGGTGGAGTTGTTCTGCAACACAAACTCCCGCACCAGCCTGCCAGAGGCAAAACAAAGCATACAAAACCTTTGCCTTTTCACATCTATCATGCACCTCATTAAAACTAAAATGACTTGACCTGTAGCCTTCCTTGTCTGTATCTCGCTTAAGCTTTCCATAAGACCATGAATGGGCTAGTCATGGAAGTGATACTGTACATCAAGTCTGAGTATCAACGGCATAAATATGAAAATCAAGACAATGTTTCTAATTATGTTATTAGAAGCAGCCTTTAGTCAACATACTAAATAACAGAGGATTCAGAGAACACTTATGCATATTCACCCATACGATAAGCAGTGTTAAAATGTATCTAAAAGATCTAACAAAAATACTCGTAGATAAATAGTTAGCATCTGTCTCCATATGAAGAATACCAAAAGTCCTTCATTGCAGTGATTTGCAAGCAACCACGATTAAAACTTTCCTATAAACTTATAACTACTGAGAGGATCAAGACGTTGGCCTGCTACCATGGTTTTACCTAAAAAATGTTAAATTAGAAGTTACATTTGTCAAGACAAGAAAAATGCTAACCTTCACCAACTTCTGATCCACAGGGACCAAAGCAGGAAGTTAAGAAAAATATGCAACATTCGACCCAACGGGATCAAGATCCAGTACAGGCCAAGGAACTCAACTACAAAGCTTTGCAGTGTCAAGAAGACCTTCTCAATATAGTGATGGTATGCTGTACACTTCTGAAAGTGACCCAAAGTTGGATAATTTGCAGGATAAATAAAAGAAGAGTTGTGTTCATCTGGTGGAGGGAGAACCTGTTGTTTTCTGTTATCAGCTCTCTTTGTCAAGATATGACAGTTCCCACCCTCAGAGATCTGAACACACAATATAGGACACTGCAAGAGTACTTCCACAGTTCTTTCAAGCAAGCTCAATCAATAGCAGCCTCCCCAGACAGCGACCAAAAACGAAGCGCCACCAATTTAGTGAAAATATTAATTAAAACCAGACATTTTACTAATTAACTGCCCTGTGAGAATGTGGAATTAACCACCAATGTTACTCTAATTACCCAATTAGCACTCTTAATGTCTACTGATAGCTCCTAGGGACAAGTCAGCTGCGATGACAGTCCCTTCCAAGACCAGCCTCCCACACAAGGTATCTTGGTCAAGATCCGTTATCTCAGATTTCAGAAGATAACAGCTTTCATCTGCTTCACTTCACACTGAAGCACAAGATAACGGCATTCAGATGGAATTTTTGCCAGAGACAAAATGTTAGTAGTTACACAGAATAATGATACGACCATTCACTTGACACACTGATTTTGGATTTAGAAGCAGAACAAAACAAACTCTGGAAAAAATCTGATATTACAGAGATTTTAGACTGACTCTTGTAAGCAATTTAAGATTGATACATTTTCTGCTGCAATCACATTCCTGCCTACGTCTACACTGAACCGCCTACAATCATGGTTAGCCAGAAAGCCCCCTCTTCCTGCTTGCTGTATCTGGAGACACGTGATTCAAAAATTCTGCATCATAACTCTCAGCCTCTCACCCTCTGACTCCAGTCATATGACACTGATCAAACTCATAACTCTCTCTTTCACTGTTTATGGTCAATGGTGCGTCACTATCTTGAGGGGACAGACTATATAATGTGCTCTTTAGTGAATGTCTGGAACATATTCACTAGCTCCGCGAATCAACATCGACTTTGCAGGGCAATATTAAAATAAGCAATCGCGATTGCTGTGAACAAATTAACCCATTTCCCGTTTGGACCTGTCGGATGGTTTTCATAAAAAAAGATAAACCCAAAGTGAAAATAGAAAGCAACGTCCATCCTATTAACCACGCTTCCTAATTAGTTTGGAATCATGTGGTTTTCCACTTGATCTTTGCATAGAAACCGCCATGCCTTAAAACCTTTCCAGCTAGCGTTAGTGCATATTCTGCCATTAGGTATATCGACCACTTCATATTGCAACTAAGCTACTATAGTTTTCCCATTATATTTCTTCAGATTTGATAAAAGGAGACAGCTGCTCGTCACTGCTACAATAACACGAATATTATTCAATGTAAAAGAACCAGTTTAACTTCACTAATAAGGAGTGACAAATTACAGTCCCCCGTTACATACCATGGGAAACCTGCACCCGTCGTCTTTCACATCTCTCATTATACACTGGCTATGATTAGGTGCATGTTAATAAAGACACACATAAAGTTATGCACATTCTTACTTCTCGATCTCCAGGGCAGCCACCTTCCTCTTTTCGTACAGTTTATCGTTGAGGGCTCGTACGATGTTGGGAGTCAAAGGTGAGAAATCCTTTTCCGTATTCATTTTCGCAAAATTCGCAATTCGCAAACAAAAAGAAATAAAAAAAACGTGTAGCCTTTCCTTTTCGTCACCAATTCAGCTGTTTTAATGCTACGATGTTAATTTCTCCGTAAGGACTTTCGTTTTCTTACCCGTTTCAGATAATATATCTTCTAAGGTTTTTGAAAAATAAAATAAAAATACTTAATAAAATGTAAATTCACCAAGTAAACTCTCCGAGTTAGTTACTTGACAGAAGCTTTGATCTTTGATGAGTTAACTCATGTTAAGTACTAGGTAAAGAAAAAATGTTCTTTCAGTTTCTCCACAGGTGACACACTGTTGTGCGGTGGAAGAAACGAAAAACGTCAAGTGATTTGGGGGAAAAAATCGCCCCTGAGCAGCAATTAGATAAACCGAACTTCAAATAACTGCCACAATTATACGTTATATTCAAAAAAAGACAACTGTTCGCTTAAAAACTACAGTATGCATGCACATGTAGACTGCAGAACATAGGTCCTGTTAACATCACCAAAAAAACATTTCCTCAAAAATATTGATAAAAGTATTACAGTACATCAAGTAATTATTTTAATTTTCTAAATGACAGACTGGTGATGATCACAAACTAGCAGAACCGACGGATTTCAGTGTCAACCTCAAATGACAACCATCGAGGTATTCTCGGATAACCTGCTCCCTTCAACCTGAATCGATTCAGCGTTTGCCCCCGGGTGTTTGAAGATATAGAGCAAAGATGCAGTTCAGGTAGATGGCTATACTGACAGACCCGCTTCAAAACAAGCTAGCTCATGGTAGCCATATTGACCGGGTCACATGACTCTTCACCACTCCCCGAAAGGCTGTATAGTCGAGCGAGGAGTCAGGGATTCATTCATTAGTGGTTTTCCCAAACTGAAGAAGACATAAAGGAAGTTGTGATGTAAAGATAGTGTCTTTTAATGATTTCTGTGATTTTATGTGAGGGACAGTTTAAGTATTTATTATTTCTGATAATTGCTTTTTCACTGCATTTTAGTGTTTATAATTACTAGTACCAGCAGCTCCTGCAATACACAACTCACAATCCACTGCTGCTAAGCAGGTGTGTGCCTGGCTAGTACCTGGATGGGAGACTTCCTGAGAAACCAAAGGTTGCTGCTGGAAGAGGTGTTAGTGGGGCCAGTAGGGGGCATTCACCCTGTGGTTTGTATATGTCCTAATATGTTGACACTACAGTGTAAAAATGGTGCTGTCCTTCATATGAGATGTGAAATCAAGGTCCTGACCCTGTGTAGTCATTAAAAATCCCAGGGTGTTTCTTGAAAAGAGTAGGGGTGTAACCTTGGTGTCCTGGCCGAATTTCCCCCTGGCCTTTACCAATCATGGCCTCCTACTGATCCCCCATCTGTGAACTGGCTTCATCACTCTGTTCTCGTCCCCACTGAGAGCTGGTGTGTGGTGAGAGTACTGGTGCACTATGGCTGCTGTCGCATTTTCCAGGTGGATGCTGCACATTGGTGGAGGGGAGTCCCCATTACCTGTAAAGCACTTTGAGTGGAGTGTCCAGAAAAGTGCTATAAAAGTGTAAGGGTATTATATTATAAATAAAAGGCAATAAGTATATAAGTATCAACATTATTTTGAGTCTGAAAATTTTTTTGTCATTGTTAAAAAGGGGAAGAATATACAAACCTTTCAAGAACCTAAAAAATGTAATGTCAACTTTGCTACTAATGGCAGTAATAATGATAATAATAATGATTATTTGTATTTTTACAGTGCTTGTATCCAAATTGTATCTATTTATCGTTTTATAAATAGAATAGGATCCATTTCATCCACACATACTATTTTATTAATTTCATTAGCTGGTGTATGGGATATGTGGTATTCCTTATTTCAGGTTCTCTTCAGACAGACGCAGTAGGAACTTCATCCCGATTAAGTTCGAGTCGGAGAAAGCAGACTCGCACAGGTCTGTTGATCCATACAGATAAGTTTCACGGTCACAGTGCTTACCCTGTTGTCCTGCGGTGCATCTATGAGGCTCTACAAATTTGCCTTTTGTCCATCTCCAGCATCACAGAATTGAGATTAAATGGAAAAATTCCACCTTAATAAAGGCGTTTGAAATGCGTACCACACAGGGCTCCAGCTGTATGCAATCAGGGACCCTATTCTCAAACATATGGCCAGGTCTGTTTGAGAGATTGCTGTACTTCCGAGTGTTCAAAGCCCCAACTACAGCTTCATTTTCTGTTTCTTTTAATTGAGAAAAAACTAAAAAGCTGACATTAGCTGAACACTTTCTGAAAATCTGATTTTTTACATGCATATATCTTGAAGGCTTATGTATGGTATCCAAAAAGCAGTGTGTACTATATAATAATGTCCAGGTAGTGAAAATTGTAATTTTGTCACCCTTCATATGAAATGGGAAGAAAGGGCTATTTATTTGTATTCAATAGATATCGAAGAGAATAAAAACATTTTTCTTATGTAATAATATGATCATGGCATTTTATCACAGAAATGCACAAAAACACAACTTTGACAAAATTATACAATGCCACATTGAGTATTTCCAGTGCATTGAATAGAAACACTTGTATCCACCGACTCCCAAAATACTGACACTGATCACTGCAGCTTTCACTATTCTGAAAAACATCTCTTCTACTGCCTGTGAGATCTTCCAGGCTGTTCCTGCATGCTTTGTTCAGGTTCTGTATGACTTTGGCAGTGAGATTGTTCAGGTCATGTTTGAAATGAGGCTGATTGTCATTCACCAGACATTTTTTGTGTCTTCCTTGCACACACAAACACGGGGAAACCTGATTAAGTTGGTTAAGATTTCATCCTGTTTGCATTTCCTTTACAGACACACATACTGTACACAGCTTGCCTACCAACAAGACCATGAATGCATTCTATTCACTTAACTGGAGAGAAATACAGTAAGCAGCTTTCTTTGTATCTTTGTTGAACCCCAGTGTAGACATGATGTAGACCATTGCAGAACTGTAGAATATAACATGCATGAAACACTTTAAACAACTTAAACTGAGTTTAAAATAGTTTTAGTAAAAAGTGACATTGTGCAGTACACGGCACTAGCCTTTCTTGCAGGAAAAATGAAGAACACATTCAGCTCTTTCTCCAATTTTTAAGTCCCCTTGATCAGGAAATGCATTCAGAATGAGCCTGTGTGCTGCAATGCTCCTGCTCAATCTGAGGTTCCTTCTGAGCCTCCCTAGAGATCTCTATGTTTTAAAACACCGCCTGCACTCAATAGCCTCCTCTGCTCACTCACCTGGTTTGGAATCAAAGGCTTTTACCTGCACCTGCTGATCATCAGGGCCTTCAAAACTTACATCCAATGATATCGCCTTAAACTGAGACCATTTGGCTGGGGTATGTTGGATGTGCAGTGTTTCAACACTGAGGAGATGACCACCATGGGTTCAGCTCAGTCACACCAATACCTGACATGCACATTGACTTTTTATAGGAATACTGGCATTGTGATCCTAAGTGTAAGAAAGTTATCTCATACACCAGCTAGACAGATTCCATTTCAGGTGTACCCAGAATAAGCATTTACAAGCATGTATATATATACTGAGGTTCTATTATTCATTTGTTATGCCTTCAATGCTTTACAGATTATGTACATGATCTCAGGATAAGCATATTTGAACTGTAAGCATACTCAAAACACTTTGTTCATTTCGGCTTCTTTTTATTCTTAAAGAAACAAGCTGTAACCAAGGCTAGAACAAAAGGCTCTAGAAAAATGGACACACCAGTCCTAATGTACCAGTGAACTGCAGGAAACGAAGACATCTCGAGTGCGATGGACAGCGCATCCTTAAAACACATCCAGGCCAGCTCAGAGGAGTTTCCAACAAAACAAATGTATCAGAAATGTGACTTTTTAAGTCCTGATTGGCTTGACTGATATGTGTCCCTGAGCATAGAAGAATATCTAAAGACTTCTTTGAAAATCATTGGAAGCACCATTCATGACAAAATATGATACACTTCCAGGAGTGTAATGTTTGTCACAAAAAAATAATTCAGAAGGTTCTCCTGCTGGTCTAGAACTCTACAGTGTTTGCCACTGTTTAACACGCAGGGTGATTTTTGTTCATAGGCCCTGTTAGAATTCTGTGTTGCCTTAAATGTGGCGGACAGTGCAATGCAAGTCTGCTCCTGGGGTCATTGCTTGGGTCTTTCACCGGCAATGCTTTTATTCAGCGGTGGGCAGCTAAATGTAAGTCAGTAACAGCAAGTGAAACCCCCCTTTAAAGCATTTTATCTTTTTTATTGTAAAACTGCAAAATGTTCAACCACAAACATTACAGGACACATGGCACATCAGAACAGAATTCATGCAAGTGTGTGTTCCATGGCAACATGCTCTTTGAGGAACTAAAAAAGATCCCTGCAGCTGTTGCACCAGCCCAGCAGATCACTGATGAACTTGCAAATTTGGTCTCCAAGTTGAGCGTTGCATTAAACAATTTGTGATGCAGATATATCAGGGTATTGAGAACACCAGACATTACCATAAGCAGAAACACAGGAAAAGGGTGATCTACAGTACATAAAATAAGAAGAAAGGAAATGGGTGGAATAGAACATTAGAGCTCTCTAGTTGTTGAGTCTAATATCTCTCATCTTTGTAATATGTCTGCTCGGTTATATGGTTATACAGAAAATTGGATTCACGTGTTTCAAAGTGCTGTGGGACAGATTGGTTATAAGATTACAGATAAAGGTTAAAATATAATCTATTACATGCAGGGCCACAGTTTTATCACATTTTATCACTAAAAGGGCATTTAGTGGAAAAATAAGGTGCTTCTTTTTGCAATTTATTGTGGAACTATGGATTTTTATTTATACTGTCAGTGAAAGAAAACACAGGCCTACTTCAAAATGAAATCTACACAAAACCATGCTGTAGGCATGTTCTTCACACAGTTGTATAAATAAATACAAAGTTCACACTGTACAGAATGTAGTTATTAAAAATAAGAGTGTAAAATGAAAGACTGGCACTCAAGTATTCTCAGCTTGATGGCCCTTACTTTATATACATAATTTAGTCATAACTGCAATAAAAATAATAAGCATCTATATTAGTTAGTCAATAAGTAAGGTAGGCTATCCTGCTCATTTTAATGTGTTTCAGAAGAATCAGTTACAAAAACATAGGCTACTGGTTTAAAGTGAAATTAAAATGAAATTAAATGCATTTTAAAGTGGTTTGGTTTATTTGCTCAAATATACCTTTGTTAATTCATCCGGTTCAGTCTGTCTCAATTCAGATTGCAAAACTCCATAGTCCAAAAATCGCCTTTTCGCATCATACAGTACAAACTGCAGAGCACATCTCAACAATATTCTAACTCGTCTGCAGCAGGTGAGGGGAAGAACACTCAACACATTTTTATACCTACAGTATCTAGGTATAACAGATTACCAGATGCTGTACTGTCGAAAGTAAAGTAGTTCATTTTCTGCACTGAGAACTCTAAAGATGTTTTTGCTTTTTAATTACTTGTGGGTACAGTGTTTACTTGGTTAGGAAGACTACACACTGATTTCTGGGGGCTTGCATCTGAATTTTCCATCATCAAGACCAGTGACCTAGCAATTTCAAGGTGGTTTTCAAATCCCTTCTCCTCATGCACTATCACAAAGATTAAATGTATTTCCCCCTTCCTCCACCCCCATCTTGTTTGGTTGTGGCACTGGGGCCCTAATTCTTTCTAATATTCTTGAACATTTCAGATACAGTTGAATGACAGTGTATTCATAACTGATCAAAAAAGCATTTCCTTTGCAAAATGTTGCTTCTTTTTTTCAACACTCTTGTTTCCTGTTGTTCTTGTTCTATTGTTTTTTACTTGGAAAGTCATTACTTTGGCTATTCCCAACCACATTTCTCAAGTAAGTGCTCACTTATCTGTTACCAGATCCTTGCTGGGAAGTTGCCTGAAAATGAGGGAACATTAATTGTCTTTTATAGAGTGAGTGCTGTCAGAGGAGTTAACTGAGACTACGATATAAGAAGTGCACTAAGGTCTACAGTACAATTAATTAAAATGTGCTTCCTCCCAAGGTAACAATCCTTAACAAATCTTGCTGCAGGTCAGGTTGTAGTCCACTACGAGTTTCTAAAACTGCACTGATGTTCTCTGCTATTCTGAAATTCTGGATTCAAATGAAATTCTTCATTTTTTTCCTTCGAGGCAAATATTGTGTGTATGACCGGCCTCTGGTCATTAGACTATGAATCCGAAATGATCGACCACAGCCCTGTCTCCCCCATCCCTTTATTACATACACAGGGCACACAGAATACTTATCAGGATGGCTCGACATGCACCAGCAATGCCATCCCAGAAAACATCGGCTTCACTCACCAAAAAAGAAAAAAAACATTACCTGTTACAGTGAGGTATAGTTCTAACAAAGGAAGAGAAAAATGGTCTTAAGGCAGAAAATTCAAGTCCTAGAAGAGAATGAGGTACCTACAGTACACATCTGCTGCAGGTGAGCTCTTTGTAACGGAAAGACTGAGAAGAGGCAGTAACATTTCTGTATGGGCCTGGCAACAGGGACGCAATGTAACCTTTTGGAAGACTGCAGTAAAACCTCAGACATCAACTCGCGTGATGTGCAACATTAACTGAAGCCATCCTGCGAGAAAACATTTTGACACCTGTCACGTTCAGTGTTATTAGCCTGGTAATCAATCTGATACCCCTCTCAGCAGTTTCAGTCTAACAGCAAATGTTTTGACACTGTTCTTCGGTATCACTAGGCTGATAGGTTTTGACACAGGTTTTCTGCAGCTGCATCTTTTCCAGGAGGCTGCTGTTTCAGCTCTGTCAGAGCAAATCAAAACCGAGGCCGAGAATCTACAAAAGGTTTGCCAGTTCAAAACACACACAGCTGGGTTGTGTGCAGGTTCTCTACAGAAATAAAAGTGATAAGACATCTGAATGTTATTTCTCTCACTTCTCTAAGCTTACACACATGTACAGATTCAGGAACACACATTCATAAGAATATCCACTGCCTAAAGGATACAGTGCAACCCATATAAAATAAATAGTGTTATGTACACAGAACCCAGAGACAACAATACCCCAGGTTATATACATCTTACAGAGGGAAGAGATATTGAGCAATATCTTAGCCCTTCTCAATGACAATGCGAAATAAATAATTTATTTTTTTTACTGGACTCCAGCATTACTGTATATAACTAGCCTTAGAAATGTAGGTGTTCCACTGTTAAATACATTCACTCCCTCAACACAATTAAAGACAGTGTCTCCTTAAACTCACTAACCACCTTTGACTTATGAGTCCTTCGTTTGTCGCTTTCCAAACAAATGCTACAGGGATGACACTGGTACAGGCCAACACACAGGGAAGGTTTTTAAATGTAGAAAAGTGTCTTGATTTTCATTAAGAGTGGCTCTTAAATTAAAGTGGTGCCTACCTTTCCTGTTTTCATTTATACCTAGTCTTGGGCTTAACTATGTCTAATATTTGTGATACTTGTTCATGCTTTTTACAAAAGCCACAGTATGCACAATTTTTATTTCATATTTTCATTCAGGAGATTGAATGTCCTGCTTACCAAAATGAAGTCTGAAATATACTGTATATATATAGTTTCATGCAGGCGGAGGATACCCCCTCTTCCTTAAAAATAACATGAACAACCTTTTCCGATTTTCAAATCACCTACCATGCTGGTTGTCAAATTAAAAGAGGTGGTGATGCCACACTCTGTGTGGACAACAAAAACAACACCGCAAAAACCATGTCCTGGTAGCATCATAACTGAATCTGCATTCACATAATTCAATCTGTAAGTAATAAATATTCCAGATTTGCAACAACAACATAAAAATTACATGGGAACAGCATCACGTGAAAGTCAACAGATCATGCTAACTTGAATTGGATGGGATAAGTAAGAGTAGAGCTCATTAAATATTTGCTTTCAGATAATAATGAAATAAAGTTTACTACAGTTCTCCAATTCTGAGCCACCTACATTGACTCTAAGGAATCAGTAGTTTATGGTTTCGAGTAGAATCCAAGGGAAGTGGAACACCTTAGCCCTAAGAAAGTATTTGGTCTGAAATTCTCCTATGCAGGTAGCTGGGACAAGGAGAGCCCTTATCATTTGCACCTCTACAAGTTAATTGCCCCTAAGACAGGCTGCGAGATTTGTGCATATCACTCGATAGTACGAAAATGCTTAAAATATAAAGAGATTATCTCCTGAGTTGTCTAAACACTTTGTTTAAAATCATTTCCAAGTGCAAAATGTTACTTCAAGAACATGAAGGTCTAGAACAAGACCTAATGTTAACATTTAAAAGAAAGCAAAAAAGAAAAACAGCCGCAAATAAAATCAATACTAATAAGATGACAAATATATAGACCCACCAAATCCAAGATTAAATTATTCCTTGTTTAGTCAGGAATGAATTTAGTGTGAAAATGAGTCAAGAGAGAATGAAGGTTTGGAGTTACCCTATTCCTTTTTATGACAACCTTCCCAGCTTTTCATTGAAGCTGCTTTCATACCTTATCTAATGACTTTCCTGTAGGTTATAATGACTTCCCTGAAGGGTCCAATGACTTCCTTGCAGGGAATGAGCATGTTGTCTTGAAATTCCAAATGAGACCTGAACACTGGGAGCCCAGTGTTTTGGGGACTCGGGTGGAGCCACTTCCATGTCTCTGTTGCATGTGTGTGTGTGTGTGTTGAAAGTTAAACTGCACATGAGTTTAACCACAAAAATAAAGAGACACTCTGGGAGGTCATCCCTGGGAATGTCACTTCTGTGATCCAACACACACTCAAGTGTACAGTACAGAGGAAATTAGTAAAACAACCAAATGTTTCTGTTCTCTCTTGGCACTCAGCAAGACTTCTGAACTGGCAATACCAGGTCTTAGCCCTGTGCCTTGAGTGGGCTTGTCATCACTTTTAAGATTCCACAGATTAAAAGCCAAGACTTTCTCTGCTTGTTTCTGCAGCTACAAGAAACAGAAATAAAGCATGGATTCAGATATGCTTCCCCATGATCTTCAGCAGTAGGAAATCCACTAAATACCCATCCTTTCCTGAAACACAAACAGGTAAGGAATTGTAAGTCACAATGAATACACAGACAGGCAAGAGTGACCTAGGTCATTGTGCATATCCAGGAAAAACTGTGACCATACAGACTTTATTCTTAAGAAAACAGAGGTTATGGATTAAAGAATGCAATGAATTATATTGTGCTGCTACACAACATGGCCTTAGCTTGCTCTGTGCTGTATTACCGCTTTCCTCTTTTTCAGAAATGGAACATTTTAATCCACAACCAAAAATAAAACCACACCAGGCACTCCATTGCTGTACACAGAAGTCTATGCAGGCATCTTTTGTGGACTTTCAAATCCAGTGCAGTCAGCCTGATTGGTCACATCGTCTCCGATCACCAGTGGAAGCTGAAGAAAAAATTCCAGCTCAGCATCCAACTAACAAAATTCCTCCACGAGACATGCTCAAAGACAGCTTTCCCAAAACTTCAAAAGGACTCTGTTCCAGATGGCTGGAAGATCATGCACAGAGACGCACTCTTTATAAAGTGTCTGTGGTACAAAAAAAGTCCTAAGAAAAACCAAGGCAAATAAAAAAATCTCAATGAGTCTTTAGGCATAAATGCACAAATACAGCTTCAAACTTCTTTATTTTCAAATGAAGGCTGTCGAGATCTCAGGTCTTCTTCAACGGACAAGAGAGCATCTTTCTCAGCTTCCCCTCCCACTCCTCAGACTCTGGCTTTTGTTCTTTTCTGAGCTAAAGCTTTTGGGGTCTCCTTGTTCGAGAAGGGGGCATCCTTCCTTGAGCGCCTGAGCCCGCACCCCTCCATATCCTGTCTCCCACAGGACTGCCCCCCCCCCCTCCCCCTGGCAGAGGGGTGGGCCTCTGAAGTCCAGTCTCAGTGGATGTGGAGGGCTAAAGGGGGGGAAAGGCAAGGAGTCTGCATCTGCAGCGCCCCTCACTGGCCGGGGTAAGTGGGGAAGGAGCTGGGGTGGCGGCTGAGGGCTGTGGCGCTGCGGCGCTCAGACGGCAGGCGAGCCGGAAGCAGGTCCGAGTCAGAGTCTGTCTGGGAGCTGGAGAACATGTCGCCTGCACACAGAAAGAGAGAGCGCAGGGGTGAGCCTTTCCAAGGCCTGGGCATCATCTCCTCGCACTGGCCGGCACAGCAGAGATTCCTAAGGAAAACCAGCTACTCAACGGGACGGCTGTATTCACACACACAGTTCACACGGGCCATCGGCCTTACCATTGCCAGTGTCTACGCCACCCTGCGTGCCAGTGATGTGGTGCCAAAAGGCACTGCGTGGCAGGATGGCTGTTGGCGTGCATGGGTAGGACCCTGGCTCTGAGCCTTTTGACAGCACCTAACACCGGAAAAAGAGAAACAGCTTTTTAGCTGGAAGGAAAGTGCATTCTTCATGTTGGCCACGGGTTTGCCAGGTTATGAATACATTCATTTAGTTGCTTACCAGGTGACATCTCTCCATGACTGACTGTATATATGCATAAGCACATTGTCTCTTCCAAAGTATTGCCCTCTAGTGATGTCCCATTTTTCTTGAATTTTAGTGCATATTTTTAAACAATAGCTGAAGGCTCAAACGGAGCATGTTCAGGGTCAAAAGACATTACTTGTCAGGTTTAAAGGGCAAAGAAAAAAATATATATTAATAGCATCAGTATTAACTATCAGCTATAGCAAATACATATATACCTGTGTTTATTTTATGAAAGTACATATAAGGAAACAAATCCACATTTTAATTGAAGTTTTGGCTCAACTGCACTGAATGACTAGACGGTGAAGGAAGGGAATTTCTGGGGTGAGAGCCATATGAGCCTGAATGCCTGAAAAATAAAGTCAGTTTAGCGAGAAACAAACATGTCTGCCCACTGGGACATTCATTAGGTTTTATTTTTTGCCTCCGTGAGAGTTTTCTAAACTATCTGATAAAGATTGCACAGACAGAATGGTTCCATTTCCCTTTTTTTCACTTTAAATCCTATCAGCATGTATTGGAAGCCGTCTGATATCATGCCTGCAATTTCCCTCAGGGGATCAATAAAGTATCTATCTATGCTTAGCCTGTAAGAAGCCACTCTGACTGACCCTGCTGCTCTTCTCCATCTCCAGAAGGACCCTCTTGTGCTGCTCAGCGATGGCCAGTGTGGCAGAGTGCACACGCTGGTAGATCTGCTCTCCTTCACGCGTTTGGAAGGTGTAGAGTCCCTCACCACTGTCACACATCCTGTAACAGACAGGGGCACAGTCTGTCAGACCGACAGGGGAACTGTCCCTTACTCAGACATTATATGAACAGCTGTTGTAGAGAATTTCTGTGCTTTACATGTTGTAGGACACATCAAAGCAGTCTTCTTTAATTTAGCTTTCAGAATCTTCTGATTGCAAATGTGTGTTCTCTTAGCTTAGGTGTACCACTTCGTTTAACGCACTGATCACTTCTTTTCACAGACAGTAAGAGTAATTTCTTTTTTAAAAAAACAGTGCAATCAAAGACAGTTTGGTCAAATGATAACAGAAATGAGTTCATGCCAATTAATCGTGAAGCACAGCTGAAGACCTCGATCTGTGCAAGCTAGCACAGTTACAATGCACTGTCCAGCACTGTCCAGTGAACTAATGGTTGCACTGCCTCTTCACTGCCACCAGGTGGAAATCTTTGCAAAGGAATAATTCTTGCAGCGCAGCTCTGTCTTGCAGAAAAAGCCCTCTTTAAACTAGTGCTTAAAAATACATTTTGTTTAATATTTTCAAAAAACAAAATCAGTTACAACAGGAAGAGCCTGATTTTGGTTAAGAGAATAAACCACATAGACAAAGTGATTTATACTTCTTCCATATGTTCAACTGCTTTATGAATTAGCATTGACAGAGTGGCACATGTTCTTCTGAGTTGCAGGAAGGGAGACCTGCACACTGTCTTACCTCTACGACATCAATGCCTATTTGAACACCGCATTAGGGAAAGTGGGGCAGGCTGACCTGTCTGTGTTCCCCTGCCCGGCTCTTACCTCCCCGCCTCGAAGGTGAACCGGGTGGCGTCCCTCCCGTAGCGGCGCAGGGAGCAGAGGGGCCAGGTGACCAGCTTGGTGCGGGGGTTGTGGATGTCCCAGAGGTAGATGTTCTCGTGGGTGATCTGCATCATGCACTCTCCGTAGATGTCGAGGTTGGGACAGGGGAGCAGGAAGACGTTGAAGCGCTCTGCCAAGGAGAGGAAACGGGGGGGAGGGGGGCGCCAGTCAGGAGCCAAGTAATTCAGAACAGCCATGCAGAGAAAAGGGGGACAGAGTCTGTGTTTTACTTGCTCAAGCATTTCCCATCTCATTCCCATGTTATTCAATTAGCTTGTCGCTCTTACCCCATGGGTACACAACGGCGAATGCCCTGGAGGGGCACCTGTGCATGTTCCTTACCTGTGTGCTCGCACTGCACCCCCGCCGCCAACAGATCAGGCTCCCCGAGACTGATGTCATTCAGTCGGGCCCCCAGGCACTCGATGGACAGAATCTTATACCACTCCTCCGCTTCCAGCTCTGGCAGGGAACGCAGGCAGAGCAGGTCAGTGTCTGGAAAGATGCTGTCGGCCAAGGGGCTGCGCTCTTCTAAAGAGAAGCGCTTACTTGCTGACTGACTATGGGCTTCGATTTGCAGAGAGGTTTTTTAAAAATGGAACTACAGCGGATGTGGGGGTCTACAGATTTTAGCACATGGTCTAGCATGGTCTTGACTTCTGACAATGCCACTCACACCTCTTCCTGATACTCCACACTGCAGACAGCCCTGCTTGCTGACTGTGCTTGAACAACCTATAGCCAAGCTGGTCTATTAGAACAAGTCTTTAAGCTCTGGGACCATGTGAGATATGATTCAGGGGATAATACATACAGTTCCACTAAACAGTCATTATTCCACTGTAGGAGTAATGACTCATCCATTCTTTTTTTAACTGATTTTAAAATGCATATTACATAGAGTTCTTCCCCTAAATCCCTTCCTTGAACTAACGTCCATTTGCCTAACAGTGTGAGAATCTGACTTGGGCGACTATAACTGACATATTCAGCTGGCAACAGCAATGACCTAATTGGGATTTGAACCCACAACCTTCCAGGTAGGAGCCCAGAGCCCTGTCCACTGCTCCACGCTGAGGCCAAGGAGAGTGGCTGACACAAACATGCAGAGTGGAATGTGGCGAGACCAGAAGTCTCCTGGAGACAGCAGAGACCCCGGTTGGGCGCGGGGTGACCAGGGTCAGGACTGACCTGACTCGCAGGTGAATGTCCGCGAGGTGTCGTCGGTGAAGACGATGGCTACCGCCTGCCTTTTGGTGTCCCGAGGAAGCCTGGTCACGTTCTTCACGTTACTGATCTCCGTCACCTGGGATTTAAAAAATGGACCAAGCGGTGAACTCTGGGGACTTGGGAATCGGGAGGCAACCTTTGTCATGTCAAACCTTCTGGTATCCAAGACAACAAGAAGCTGACTTTATTAAGATTTTCCTTTTTTTAAAGGTAGTTCTGATTGAGGATTTTACAGACAGATCCAGCTTTTTTTTTCAGATGTGCTCCTTCGAGAGTTGGCCCTTTCTGTGCGGCAGAGGAGCTTCCTGCTCAGGAAGTATAAATTAGATTTCAGACCGCTGGATCCAACTCCAGCTGACTATGCTGACAGTCTGACAGCCTTTCACACGTCACTTCTGCCTTCTGATGAAGCAGTTTTGCATTCAATGATACAGAATTGTTGCCCAAACATTAACTGGCTACTGGTATTACTGAACTATTGTAGTGTCTCTGCTGTCCAGTGGGCTGGTCTCCTTTTTTCTTGCTGAAGGACCTGCACTGGTTCTTCTCCTCCATGACGGCCTTGGTCAGCCACTGCTGGCTCCCGCTCAGCTCAGTTAGAAAAGATCACACAAAAGTAAACAATGTGTGGTTCTCTTTGAAATAGAATTATTTAAAGAAAAAAAAACATTCCTAGTCAATAATACCCAGAGCAGAGTGCTGGGTGTGCCGAAAACCAGTCCCTAATCACTCAGAGACAATTCTAAATGAAAACAATACCTTTGGACAGGCTCGGATATAGGCCGACTTCTCATCTGGATATTTCTCCAACCTCCTAGGGCCTTTACTGGAAGATTTCTTGAACACTAGCCAGCAGCGGCGATAGATCTGAAAGGAAAAGGGATCAATATAACTGATCTGCCTCTGTGGCAAAGGTCTGACCAACCTTCCCTACCTTTCCTGATCAAACACTAGGTTCCAGTATCACGGACACCGAGTTCTCAGCTTGCCTTGCCTTACCCCCACACAGTAATGCAAAGCCCAACAGAACCACCAGTTTGTCTAAAAATTAAATATGAAGTATGAAATATTCGGTCCCAAATAGAATGGACACAAAAAAGATTGCTATGAATTCTTTCTGCCACTGCTTTAATCACATCAATCCATTTGTTTTCCGCTCCTGTAAGATAAAAAGACCCATCCTTTTATTTATTTACGTTGAAGATGTCCTTCAGAACCAGACCTCTCGTTTCCAGGGAAACCTGCACCTGTAACTGCACCTGCTAAAACTGTGCAGCCCTGCCACACACACACTACTGTGCAAACACTCCCCAGTGTGCTGAGCGCTCTGCTGCCCCCTACTGACGCCTCTTAGTCTTCATAACTCAAGTAGGAATACATTTCTTATTATCCATTCATAACTTTGCCCTTGGTTTTCCATCTTTTTTCAAAACAAAATTATACGTACACAGGCTAAACATATGAATGCTGGGAAATTCATGAGAAGACTCCACAATCAGACAAAATACTATCGGTCTCAACAATTTTATTATTGTACAATTTAACTTTAAAAACTAAAAAAAACATATGATAACCATGTGATAACGTGTCATAACCTCAATAACATGTAAACTGTTTTTGTCAAAACAGAATGATGTAACTTTATACCTGGCTTTTTTTTATTTGTTTACTGGCTATTATAAAATACAGCAGTGCAGCATGACTGCAGGCAGAAAACTTCAGGGATTTGATTCCTCTGCCCAATAACAAATAAAAGAACAGTGTCAATAGAGCATATAATTTCTGGCTTTTTCCTTCTTTTATAGAACAGAGAAACAACTTGCAAAAATACAAGAAAAAGAAAAACAAACTTTGTGCATGGAATAAAAAGACAAGCAGAAAAATGTAAAGCAGTTGCTGCTGGAATATTACTTTGCTTGGCAATTATAAACCGTCTCCAAACCGACATAGAAGCTAGTCTTAAAAGACAGCACAATTTTAAGCTGGTGTTTTTAAATCTGCTGCAGTCCTGATCCTGCAAAAGGAGATTCTGTTTGATTACATTTTACCTTTCCTGTAACTTCAAATGTATTTATGCATCACGCTTCATCACGACTAATTGTATGGGATTCAGTGTTGTACAGGTAACGCAGATTTATTCCTCGGTCGTTTCTGTCGAGCACGCTACTGAACAATGCAATTCAAAATCAATTGCCTCGGTTTTTCATCTGCCTTGTGTTTTTATTAGCATGCTGACCATCTCTCCCTACTTGCCTGCCTCTGCACAGCCCTCCGAACAATCCTGCCCTGAAAGACAAACTCACTTTGAAGGCAGTTAATTACAGCTGTAGAAGACAGGTCTATGCTTGCTGGGCTTTGCTCCTAGATGAAGCTGATCATTGCCTCATCTAAATATCTTTCCAACAGAAGCTTCTAATAATACCATTAACCTTTCACCTTGAGCCACTGGAGTCAAATCTGTTTGCCCAGGCCAAACAAGAAAAACAAAAACACCACTAAGTAGCTACCTCCAAAATGAAATAAAAACAGATATGCTGTTTTAGTGGTAAGGGAAAGTGAGATTAAATCAGTTTACCTATCTGAATAAAAAATCAGTATTGCATTGAGAGTACCCCAGCTTTATTCTCAACAGGGCAATCTGGGAGAATAGCACACATTCCATGATAACACTGAAGTTAAGGACCATCTGCTCCTGAAACTTAATGCATTGATTCCTTTTTTCCTTTTTTATTAGCACTTTTTTTTCCTTTTCCCCAGCTGTAAGGCAATTCTTTTTCATAAGACAAAAGTGTTATTTATATATATATATTTTTTGTCTCATATTGGAATAGTTAATGAGATGTAGTCTCAGTAGGCTTATCACAGTACAACACTTTCCCATTGTAACTCGCTGCAAGGCATTGTACCTATATTGGCCCGAAACCAATCTCACAGCCCCATCCATTCTTTGTGGGGCCTTTACAATTTAATCAGGAGCTATTGACTCACATAGTCATCTACGCATGCTAGGGGGTGCTTCATGTGCCCAGAATAAAATTATACAAATTGATTCCTTCAAATTGTTCATCTTCATTGCCGAGAGCAATTCAGCAGGATAAAATGTATTTTTTTAAATGTCACTCTGTGTGAGGATGACCTAAAATATACACTTTCTGGCCTTTTCAGATTGGCACTATAGCCAGCTTTTCTGCATTCTCCCCCTTAAGAATCAAGATCTCTGGTAACTGCAAGGCAATATGTAGTCTCCTGGTCCTAAGCATTTGCAGAAAAGCAAACACTGAAATGTTGCGCAGCAGCACGGTACTTTAAGTTGCGATCTGACGGTCTCTGGGGATTGTTTAAAAATATTAACCGACCGCAGCTAACAGCTCATTTTGAAAATGAATCCTCAACGTGTGATCCTTTGTAGGAGAATCATGGGGTGCCAGATGAGCAGTATTGTATATCACCAAAATAATCAAGGAGCAGATTTAGCGTGACTTTAATGTTGATCTCTGCTCTGCGGGTGCCCCACTGGGGCTCTTCCAGTGAACTGCTTTAATGAATAACAAGGGCACAGCACTGTGGAAACAACACTTCAGCAGAGCTGAGGTTATGTCTGTTGTACAATTCCACCCTCCTGCGGCACATTCTCCCTGTACACCAGCTTCTGGTTTTCATCCATGTTTGCACGTAGATTTCAGATCCTGAAGGTATGTAAGTATCTAGCCCTATCAGTCAAAGGCCATCTGATGCCCTGCCTCACAGGAAACAAAGGAAGCACATTTCAATGTAAACCCTCAATGTGCCAGCCATCTTTTTTCACCCTTAGATGAGTGTCTAGATGTGATTTTTCCACATAAATACTGGTGTGTCTTATGTATATCTCGCCATTAATCGCTTCTTTTTTACCTTTTTTCTACCTGGGTCTTAACATTAGTATACATATTCCAACTTAAAAGGGCACGCATGACATCTTTTATCTATACTTGCATATATGCATACATAGGAACAAGTAATAGGTTTATTCCATGCTGAAAAGAGAAAAAAGAAAACACAATGTTTTGGCTGTGGAGCCTTCTTCGGGTGTATATATATATATGTACATACATCTACCATTATATAATTAATACCATATGTATGCAATATAAATAATTAATAAGCAACAGTAAAAATGAATACCTGCATAAAAATACTGACATACCCAATACACTGCTGTGTGAAAAAAAAATCAGCTGTTTTTCTCTCTGTAGGCAGAGCACTCCAGAACCCCTTAAAAATAGCTCTCCAATCCACACTGCTTGCCAGAGTCACATGTTGCTGGGATATTCAGTTCACTTTCACAAGCAGGAAAGCTTTCTCAGCCCTGTACTCCATCAGACCAAGGACACAGGAGGGGCAGAGTGAATTGAGCCTCGATGAATGTCAATTAAAAGGGGCTTTGTGTTCTCTGAAAGAAGATGCACTACGTCCCCGAGAAGCAAGTGCGCTTAAGCTTCAATTAGACGTACTGTAACCTCGGCTCAGGAATACCATTCTTGTGCTCTGAAAGGACAGGCTACAGCGCACGAGCGTGCTGCTCTGTTTTTCTCTGCGGAGAGTTGGGGTTTTTTTGTCGAACAATGCCTCCCGCCATCACCTAATTGAGTGTTCTCTCCTTGCCCATGGACAGGGGGCTGCATTGATTTTGTGAAAGAGGTAATTATGTCCCGCTCTCCAGCCATAGGGCTGCCATTGATCCACATGAATAAGATAAAAACCTGCAGGCTCCGGCTCCTCTCCAGTGGTGGCTGTGGTCGTGCACATTTATCTAAGGGTCTGGAGGAGAGCAGAAGGGATCTGGCAACAAAAATAAATTTGTGCCAAATATGCCTGCACCATAAACCACACAGATCTTCTGCATACCTTACAGGAGACAAGGCCTGTTAATGTGCACTTTATCTCTCCCACAGTCTGCTTTACAGGACTCTTTGAAGACAATTAGAGCAGAGAGAACTGGATTTCTCAGTCCCTGGGAAACATTTATCAATCCTACCATTTTTGTCAAACAGGTGGTGCGGAGCTTCTGTAATCGCAACGCAAGCACAAATCACATCACATTTGCTGCACTGGCAAAACCACTCTGATTGTTTTCTTTCTTACGTGTATACAACAATTATCGACTTCAGCACCCCTCCAGTAATATCAAGCCCCTTTCATCAACAAGCACTAGAACGCTCAATTCTCAGCACCCTGTCACCTCCACTTTCCATAATAATCGCTAAAACACTGCTGTCAGCTCTCCAGCACTGACACCTTGCATGCTAAGAAGCAGCCATGAATAAAAAATGATACAAAAAGAGGAGGAAAGAAGATCAATGTGGCAGCCGGAACCGATGCAGCACATCTTACAAAGCCATGATCCATGTTAGGAATTAATAAAGTCTTGTTGTGGAACTGCTGGATCTGAACAGGGACCTTCAGCTTGGAGCCAAAGTAAACTGAGTGTGCTGCAACCGACAGCCTCTCTCTCAGCCTCCGGTGCCGATACATGCCTCTCTTGAGCCACCGCTGGACATGCTATCACTCGGAGGCCTGCTTTGGGGCAGCCACGCTCTAGAGAAGGCTTAAGCCTTCTTGATGTGGAAATATCCTGCATTCAGCTCATGGAAAGTCTTGCGCCCTCTCAAACGCTCTCCACTCCTATCCCTGTGGTTTTCTCTTTAAAAAAAAACATCACCAGCCGATTTCTGTATGGAAGTGTTTCATCCCAAATGACCATTCTTCCTAAAACATAACCCAAGCATTGAGACTTCATTTCAAAGCCAAGTATACGACGAGATGCCTGCTTCTGATTCATTCTCATTACTGTTCCCTGGGCAAAACCTGTAGATATCCTAGCCACACCT